AGGACAGCCCACAGGGTGCCACCTCAGAAGGGGCCTGCGTGCAAAGAGAGAGAAAGGCCCCACAGCCAGCCCCAAGGGCATCTAAGGTGCATAAGACAGAGAGGGCCACTCCCAAGGGACCACAGCCAGCTCCCAGGCTGTCAAAGGGGCGCAAGGCCAAAGCAGTTGCGCCCATGCCGCCTCAGCCAGCCCCATGGCCTTTCAACGCCAAAGCGGGCAAGAAACTCGAGCCCCAGCAGGCACCTAAGGCAGATAATCCCAAAAAAGGGCCTAAGGAGCCGGCACCACCCAAGGCAACCAGAGCCAAGGGCGTGTCAGTGGGGAAGCCGCTTCAAATCAAATGTGCCCATCTTTTACATCGGAGATTAGGCCATGCGAGCTTCCCTGTGGTCAAAAAGATGGGGGAATTTGCTGAGGGGATTCATCTCTGGGATTGTGAGATGTTTCTGGACTGTGCCATCTGTAAGAGGGCAAAGAGGGAGGCCGCCCCAAAACCTAAAGTGTCTCTGCGTAAAACTCAATACCCATATCAATTAGTCCATGTTGATTTGGTTGGGCCATTTACACCGTCCCTAGTGAAAAGGTAGTATTTCCTCACTGCCATCGACGATTTCTTGTGGTACGGCCATGTATATACCCTCACAGAAAAATCTGAAGCTTTAGATGCCATAAAATCGCTATACAACTCTGGAAACCCAGCACAAGACAAAGATTGTGCAGCTGCAGAGCGACCGTGGGGCTGAGTTCATGTCCCGAAAGTTCCAAGACTGGATAAGGCATAAGGGCATAAACCATTTTCGTACAGTGTCCTTTAGTCCTGCACAGAACAGCGTGGTGGAAAAACGAAATGGTAACCTGCAGACTATGGTGCGTAGTCTGATTGCGGATGCTGGGGTTGCGGAATCATACTGGGTGGAGGCGCTACATTATGCCAATTATACCTTAAACCACATCTAGAGCAGCGTTGTGGACCAGACTCCATATTTTCTGGTCCACGGTAGGAAGCCAAGTTTGGGACACTTGCGTGTATTTGGTTCCTACGCTTGGGTGCACATCCCCAAGCAGCTGCAGAAAAAGGGGAGTTCCGTCTCCCAGAGACAGGTTCCCTGGCTCCAAGGCCTACCGGTTCCTGGGAGAAGGGGGCAGGACTGTGACCTCCCAATCTGCCTCCTTCGAAGAGGACTCCAATTGGACCCAAATCCACTCATGATCTGGGCCCATACGTCAACCAACCCAGCAAAACCGCACCGACCACGACACCACCTGAGACAGTCACAGACCCTGCCACCGACGAGAGCGAGGAACAGGACGAAGAGGTCAGCCTACCTGGTCCAGATTGGGAGGATGAGCTGTCCAGTCCTGAGGGGGAAGACACACCATCTTCACCCGACTCTTCGCCTCCAGCGATGCCTCAGAGGCTCATGATGCCCAACGCCTGGGACTGAGGGCCTCCACATCCCGGTTGTGAACAGCCAGTCGACAAGGAACCTGCAGAAGAAAAGGGTGGTAGCAGGAGGTCAAAGCGGTCCAACAAGGGGGTCCCACCAAAGAGAATCGACATTGGGCACGTTGCGTCTGTCAACAGCGTTGTGGTCACCCCAAAGACTTTCTCTGACATCCAGGAGCTGCCCATCAAAGAACAGGAGAAGTGGCAGCTCGCGATGGAGCAGGAGATGGAGAGCCTGAGAAAGCTCAAGGTTTTCACCCCGTAACAACCACCAAAGGAGAAGGAGGTCATTGGCACAAGGTGGGATTTCAAGGCCAAACCACTTGCCAATGGCTGCTACAAGGCATGCTTGGTAGCACAGGGGTTCGCCCAGCGCTACATGGAAGACTACAGGGAGACCTACTCTCCGATCGTCTGGGCAAAGTGTCAAGGCCGCCCTCGTAACTGCAGCTGCTCTGGGAAAGGAAGTCTATCAATTCGACATCCAGACGGCCTACCTCCACGCCAACTTGGACTGGCAGATCTACGTGAGGGCCCCTCCTGGTTACCAGCAGAAGGGAGGAAACACATGGTTGCTCCAAAAGGGGTTATATGGCCTCAAGCAGTCAGGGAAACTCTGGTTCGACTGTCTCAGAAAAAGTTTAGAACGAATTGGCTTCAGGGCTGTTAGGATATGGTTTGAGCCTAACAAGTTGTCCAGGCAATATATGTGTTCTGTGACTTTAATATGAATATGTATTGTGTGACTTCAAAGTTTTCCTGCTGATTCATTGTAATGCTGAGTCATGCTGTAATTAGTTGTGAGTATTTAAGAAAGGTACTGTAAGTATTCAGTTGATGATAAGCTACCATTGGGTGTGGAGTTGCAATCATTGTGCTATCATCGGTTGGATGGATCTGCTACCATCGTGGTTTGTTACCAGAGTGAGTTTGTTATTCTAATCAACTACTGTTTGTGTGGTAAGAAGATTTTGTATCACTGGACTGATTTAACTGGCAGAGACTTGGATTGATTTAAAGACTATGAGATTGTTTTTTCACTATAAAGTAAACTTTTGATAAACCAGTTTGCACATCTCTTATTCATTGCTCTCAGCAACGTTTCTCTGTGCTCTACACTCTGCTGGTTGGTAACACAACAACAATATCCTTAACAAGGGCATCTCATGCAGATGAATGCATTTTCACACGTGACTCCAAAGGTGCTACAGAACCAGTTTATGTAGACGACCGCCTATATGTAGGCCCTGGCAAGGAAAGGTGTGATGAATTTGCCAAGGCCCTGGGAGAAAGGCTTACCCTGAAGTCCTTGGGGTGGGTTGACAGGTACCTGGGTGTGCACATCTTGGCCACTGAAAAGGCGTTCGCCCTATCTCAGAAAGAAAAGATTGAGTTGTTGGCCAGATGCAAAATGGCGAAGTCTAACCCAACACATAGCCCCATACAAAGTGGCTTCTATGGTCACACTCACAAGGACAGCCCTGAGTTCACAGATAATAAGTTATCCAGATCTGTGATTGGCTCCTTGCTATACATTAGCAATTGGAGCAGGCCTGACATAGCTTTAGCTGTGAATCTATTGTCCAGGCATGTGGAAAACCCAAAATAATTCCACTAGGATGCTGTCAAGAGGGTACTCAGGTATCTCAGGGGCATGGCCGATGCTCTCCTTGTGCTGGAGCCAGAGAAGGGGAAGCCGGCCCAGCTCTCCGCTTACTCAGACGCAGACTGGGCTGGTGACACCAAGAGTAGACGGAGCACCTCTGGTTTCCTCATATTCCTAAATGGCTGCCCCATCCATTGGCATGTTAGGTAGCAAAATTTGTTTCTTGCTCCACGGCCAAGGCGGAATATGCGTCTGTCAGACACAGTCAATGAGTTGATTTGGTTCGACGCTCTGGTAACAAGCATTTGGGCACCCCCTCCTCTGCCCATCCAAATTCAAGAAGACAATACGGTTGCAATTGAAATCTCGGGGGCATATGCGGTGGGCTCTAGGTCCCACCGCATAGACATCTGCTACAAAAATGTCAGGCAACTTGCCAGAATGGGTTTCGTACATGTCAAACATTGTAGTACAACCGACCAGATAGCTGACCTGTTCACCAAACCTGTGCCTATTGACTGACACAACCTTCTGTGCAAGCTTTTGTGTTTGGTCTTGTAAACGCATACAATGCATCTGCATGTCTATGACACCTGCTCGCCCCCTCATACATACTCACTGGTACCTGTCATTGGTTAGCAAGAAGGGGAATTGTTAGATGTTTTTGTGCCAGCCATGGCAGTTTCTTAAAAGGCCACCAGATGGGAGCAAAGAGGCACCTTTGATCCCACTGGTGGGTCAGAGGGCTCCGGCCCCTGCAGCCCCATTGGGGAGAGTTAATGGCCCTCCGGCCCCCTCACACCCATTGGTAAGGGAGGGGTCAGGGGCCCCAATAAGAACCACTGTGCAGGGGCTGCCCTCTAGCTTTTGTTCTAGGTCCCTTCGGGACTAATCCATGGGCTCAGTCAAGCCTTGGATGCCTCATTTTATTTATTTATTTATTTTATTTTATTTTATTTCTATACCACCCTTCTCCTGCGGGACTCAGGGCGGTGTACAGCCAAGATAAAACATTGCACATAAAATTTAAAAACAATTTAAAAAGCAATTAAATAATTTCGGCCCAAGATATTAAAAACAACCCAATTAAAACCAAAATTCAATTAAAAACTGAGGGGATGGGATCAAGCCAGCCCGGCTAGATGGAATAGATGTGTTTTCAGGGCCCGACGAAAAGTCCGGAGGTCTGACATCATGCGTATCTCAGGTGCATCTTTTCTCTGCTTTATCCTTAAATAAAGCTTCAACTGCTGCCTCTTTCTTGGAAGCGCCTTAACAAACCATCAACCTTGTGAGAGCTCTCACATTTTCTTCCTTTGCTTACTATTGTCTCAGTCTGCCTTTCCACCTGCTTCACATTATGTAACGCAAGTAATAATTGAGGAAGAAAACCATAAGGAAAACGGGGTTGTAGTGATGCTGAATTAGAAAATGCAACTCATAGGCTGTGTGTCCTAATTTTGTGGTGATCTTTCCTTGCCTTCCCTCGTGTTGCCCATCTCTGGACTCACACAATCTTATCAATACCTTTTTTAAAGTGAGGTCTCCAGAACTGGACATAGTATTCCAAATGGAGTCTCACTAAAGCCCTATGTAGAGGGATAGGAGCTCCTTTTTGCTGATGGTGATACATCTGGTGATGCATCTCAGAATTTTGTTTGCCTTCCCAGCTGCCTGGCCACACTGCTTACTTATGTTGCAGTTATCCTTGTTTCAGTGCCATGGCAACTACTTTCACAGAGTTGTGTAAAAGAAGGGAAGAGAAAGCAGTGGTAGGGATATGTGGTTGCATATTAAGTTCCCATAGGTAGGCAGCCTGCTGGCCCACCCAGGCAGTCTCTGATTTACAATAATTTATTAAGTAACCATTTGAAGTTACAATGGCAATAAATGATGGCTCTGACCTCCTCCTTCCCTCCCTCCCTCCCTCCCAAATTAGACATACTCCAGGATATGAGAATGAAAACCAGTCTGGTGTGCTAACATTGCAAAGGATCAATCGAGAAGGAAGATCTTTGGAAATCAATGGGGACCAAAATAAGATGAAATTAAGAACTACTTCAAAAAATTACTTCAGTCCTTCCTGATGAAACATGCAGAAATGCGAATGGGAACTTTCTCTGGGATGTCATCCCCTCAGATGCGCTCCTCTTTCCCGCCCTTTGTACAATCCTGGCACTTTGCCCCTAATCCACCAGGGGGCGCCCTCCGCCAAGAGAAGGAAACTCCCGGCGCTTCCCCATTGGTCCACTGGAGGGGGAAGTCATGACCGGCTTTGTAGGGGTGGCCGGGAAGAAAGTGACATCATGAAAGCTTGCCGCTCTAGGATGGTGCACTCGCTCTCCTTAACCCCTGGGGCGCCGCAGGAATCGAAGAGGCTGCAGGAGAGTCTGGGGGGGGGGGGAGATCCAGACATGCCCCGGGTGAGTCGAGGGCTCTTCTTGTGCAGAGGGAGGCAGAGGAGGGAAAGACCTTCACCTGGCCTCCTCCGGCTTCAACCCCAGATCCCATGCTCCCCAGACGCCCTCTCTATGCGAAGAGCCCGAGTGGGGGGAGGGGAGGGTCAGCCTTGCGGAAGCCCAGAAGGTTGTTCATTGGCTCAATTCCACTTTCTAATTCTTGGTATTTATTTTTCCTTCCATCGCAGATACACAAAGTCGAAACCATTTGAAATCTTTGCAAACCACATTTTTTCTCTTGGGGGAAGAAAAAAAAGAGCGGAATCCCTTGGAGGGATCAGTCGTGGAGCACCAGAAATGGTCCCATGAAGGAAAAGGCATCTGGAGACCCACCAGAGTCCTTGGAGCCATTTGCAGTTGCTCTGCAGGACAGAGAAAGGATGGAGACACAACCTTTTGGAAAGGAGGGAAGCGGAAAAGGCCCTTCAGCTGCTCAGCCTGGGAAGTGGGGGAAGCTCTGGACAAGGACTGGGCAGGAGATCCTGGAGGAGGAAACCCTCCTCCCTTCAGAAGTTCAGCCCTCAAAGTTCACCCAATGGCAGGAGCTTGAGGGTCCCCGAGGATTTTGCAGCCACCTCCATGGCTTTTGCAGGCGATGGCTGAGATCAGAAAAGCACACCAAAGCTCAGATGCTGGACCTGGTGGTTCTGGAGCAGTTCCTGGCTCTTCTGCCCCCAGAGATGGAGGACTGGGTGCGGGAATATGGAGCAGAGACAAGCTCCCAGGCGGTGGCCCTGGTGGAAGGCTTCCTCCTAAGCCAAGCGGAGGAGCAGAAGGAGCAGGTCGAGTTGCAGGCATGAGTTCAAAAGAGAATAGAGAATCTGTTTGAATACTTCACCGCTCCTTCCCAAACTTCTCTGACATTCATAATATGTGGAGATATCCCACCTATTCCTGTAGGACATTGGTCCATTGTTTTGTCACTCAATCACACTGATGGATATTGGGGGCTTTGAGGTGATGTTTCGAATATAGGAATCCACTTTATGTCGTGTGATGTACATTAATTCTGCTTCTTCCTTCCTTCCTCCTATTTCAAGTGCTGCACTGTGGAGATTAGAGATCCTGAGGGAAAGAAGAACCCATCAAATCCTCTTCAGGAGCTATTTTTCAGGAGGATCCCTTGGGAGGATCAAAGTCAGGACATCTCAGGAGGTAATCAAAGATCCTACAATTACCCATCTGTCTTGCTTTTGCTCTTTCTTCTCTTCTATACAATACCTCCTTCTATTTTGTTAAATATGCATTTTGAAATTATTTATTCTTTTCAGAGAAAAAAAGCATGAAGTTTTCTGGTTTTTATGATGGCAATCAAAGAGCGGTTGAACCTCTAAATCAAGTAAGAAAGGGAAAAGTTATTAGATTTGTATTCTCCCTTCAGGAAGTGAAGCGGGTGTGCTTCTATTTTTCCACCTTGTTTGGACTGGGTTATATTTGTGTCCTTCCACAACATGGACATCACAATAGCAGGTTCAAGTTGCTGTCAGCCAGCAAAGCTTCTGGTTATCTTGTTCTGCTAGGTACTTCTCCAACTTTCAGTTTACAAGAAGCAATTTTTTAAAATCCTTCAAGAATTAGGAATAAAAGTGGTAGGAACTGCTAGACCTCTGTTCTTTTTGTAATTTATCAGCTTCGGAAGGTAAAGATTAACAGATTGGGAGGGACCTTGTAGGTCATCTAATCCAATCCCCCCACCCAAGCAGACCATATACCCATGATGGCGAACCTATGGCACGCGTGCCACAGGTGGCACATGAAGCCATATCTGTGGGCACTTGAGCATTGCCCTAGCTAAGCTCCAGCACACATTGGCCAGCTGATTTTCGGGCCTTCCAGGCCCATCGGAAGTCAGGAAATGGGCCATTTCTGGCCTCCGGAGGGAGTGGGGAAGGCTGTTTTTGTCCTCCCCAGGCTCCAAGAAAGCCTCTAGAGCCTGGGGAGGGCAAAAAACATGCCTCCTACGCCCACCATACCATCACGTGCCAAAAGTGAGGGGAGCGTAAGGGGGTGAATTATGGGTGTGGGCACACGCACACACAACCCCCCACACTCCCCCCACTTTTGGCACGTGACAGCAAAAGGGTTAGCCATCACTACCCTATACCATTTCTGACAGATGGCAGTCCAATCTCTTCTTGAAAGCTTCCAGTGATGAAGGTCCCACAACTTCTGAAGGAAACTTCTCTTCCATGGGTTGATTGCTCCCACTGTCAGAAAATGTCTCCTTATTTCCAGGTTGAATCTCTCCTTGTTCAGTTTCCATCCATTATTCTGTGCCTGGCCTTCGGGTGCTTTGGAAAATAGCTTGTCTGTGGAATCCCCTCAAATATTGGAACACTGCTACCATGTCTCCCCTGGTCCTTCTCTTCACTAGACTAGCCATGTCCAGTTCCTGCACCCGTTCATCGTATGTTTTAGCCTCCAGTCCCCTCATCATCTTGGTTGCTGTTCTCTGCACTCTTTCTAGAGTCTCAACATCTTTTTTGTAGTGTAGTGACCAAAACTGGATACAGTATTCTAGGTGTGGTCTTACTAACGCTTTATAGAGAGGTATTAGTACCTCACTTGATCTTGATTGTATCTCTCTGTTAATGCAATTTAGGATTGCATTGGCTTTTTGGGCTGTCACTGCACACTATTGTCTCATATTTGTTCAGTCAGTCAGTCAGTCAATCAATCAATCAATCAATCAGAATAGAGTTAGAAGGTACTTTGTGGGTCATCTAGTCAAACCTCTTGCCCAAGCAGGAGACCCCTACACTACTTCTGACAAATGGCAGTCCAATCTCTTCTTGAAAGCCTCCAGTGATGAAGTTCTGAAGGCAAGCTCTTCCATTGGTTGATTGTTCTCACTGTCAGAAAATCTCTCATTTCTAGGTTGAATCTCTCCTTGATCAGTTTCCATCCATTATTCCTTGTCTGGCCTTCAGGTGCCTTGGAAAACAGCTTGTCTGTGGCAGCCCCTCAAATATTGGAACACCGCTACCATGTCTCCCCTGGTTCTTCTCTTGACTAGACTAGCCATGCTTGTGATCGACGGAAAGCCCTTCCTTTCTTAATTCCTTTCTTCACTTTGGCTCTGAAGAGCCTCCAGGCAGGCAGAAAGCGACTGGGCTCCGCAGAGCTCTGCTTTTGCTCCGTCGTGCTCCGATGTCAGCACGGTCTCCCCTGTTACACTTACTATTGTAGAGCCAGATATCACCGATTCTAAGCCTGTGCATTTGGTTTTTCGTTCCTAAATGTAGAACCTTACATTTCTCAATGTTGTTTTTCATTTTGTTAATGGGATCCAATCTGTTGATCCTTCTATATCCTGAGCCAATCTTGTGGAGTGTTGGTATTCCTGTCAATTTGGTCTTGTCTGCAAATTTGATGAGTTCCCCTTCTATCCTCTTGTCTAAATCATTGATGAAGTTGATCAGATCTTGCGAATCCTCCTGTTCTGTTCTGTTCTCCCTGTTCAGGAGAGTCTTGTGTCCTTCGAGGAGGTGGCTGTGTATTTCTCTGAGGAGGAATGGTCTCAGTTGGATCCTGACCAGAAAGCGCTGCATTCGGAAGTCATGCTTGAAAACCATAGGAACGTGGTCTCTCTGGGTAAGAGTTCTCTAGTCCCCAATCAGAGAGTTCAAGAAGACAGATGATAGTTAGTTTTTTTTAATTAAAAAATAATTGATCAGATATCGTCTCCTGGGAGAGAAAAGGAAAGGATCTGGCCTCCTCTTACTCCAAGGAAGGAAAGAGTCAATGTCTCTTTGTTTAGATTCTTTCTGTGCCATTTTGTATCTGTAATTTTCCATTTCTATTTGAACTTATCTGTGGAGGCTGAGAAGAATGGGGTGTCCTTTTATCTGTCCTCTGGTGGTCGTGAGAGAAATGTGTTGTCATTGGTCCTCTGAAACATCCCTAAATTGTGTGAGAACAGAACTTTCACACTTAGGCTGTGTCCAGTCTAAGAGCAAAGGCCTCATGCAGTGTGACTCAGAGCATCCTAGGTTACAGGTAATCCCCGAGTGACAACTGTTCGCTAAGTGACCATTCCAGTTTATGACCTAATCCACTCCCAAGTACTTAAGACTTAGTCCTGAAATTACGAATGTTGCAGCGCTACGGCTGTCATTCACACTTACGAACGACAGCGGAGTCACTGCAACAACATTTGCCCCACTTATACCCACACCCCACCCCACTGGGACTTAGGTTGCGATGATGTATCAAGCTGGTGGTTCCTTTGCCTGATTTGTTGCATTTGAAAAAAAAGGAGGCCTAAAGTTGTGAGGCCAGTAGTGGAAAATCTCGCACTACTGTTTTCACTTGATCTTGCACTACAGTACGTTAGGCCTCTGTTAACCAAGGCCTGCACGTGATCCACGGCAAAATGGTTTGCAAACAGAAGGAAGGCCTCTTTGTTTTCAAAGTCTTTTGCCCTGGATCTCGTTCAGTCCTCAGTTCTTAAAAGAGCACACCCCTAAAGTAATGTGCGAAATCATGTGAGATTACTAGCCTGAGATCTTGCACTGCTGATCTCGTGATCTCGCACTAAAGTAGTTTAGACTTCTATTCTCTGCGAACTGAAGCCTGTACCAGATCTAGCCAAAGGTCTAAAGCTGTTGAGACTTAGCCATTCTTGAAGCCTCCCAACCTTTCTAGTCTCAGTGCGAAGAACGTTTACAAGCCAATGGGAGGCTTCAAGCAAGGGATTTTGCTCCAGTCTCATCGTTGGGATCAGGGAATGGGTCAAGTGGGGTTCCTGCCTGCCAGACAGACACCATGGAGCAGCTGCTCCAAGGTACACCGGGGAAGAAGGCGCTTGTTTCAAACTTGTTTCAGTTCTCACAGGTCTCAGCTGAAATTAACCCACCTCAATAAATCTTAAGTTTTCTCCTTATTCCTCCTTGGAGGTTTTCTCTCATTGTTCCTTAACTCAAAACTGACTTTGAGTGAGATTTGCAGATATATAGATAATTGTTAAGAAAGAGATGTTTTCTAGATGTTTTCGAATGACTTGTGAATATAGAAATCGTCATGTCTATATCACACCACTGTAAGCATGCAAACAATCTAATGGAATTTCAGAGAAACTCAGAAGGAAATTCAGTTGACTTTCTACACTTTGATCTTTTTCTCTAACCAGGTTATCATTTTAATTTCTCTTTTGCTTTGAAGGTAACAATGGTCAGAAGAATCAAGATTCCTGTGAACTGTTCCAAGTGATCAATGCTAAAGATGGAAGGGAGAAGTTTGAAATTGAAATGGAATTTGAAAGCCATGAGAAAAAACAGTCAAAAAATTGGAATCAGGAGAGCTCATCTTCCTCTGATGCTGCGATGCAGGACTTTATTGCCCAACAAGAAAAAATAAGGGGAAAATATACTGGAAAAAGTGTGAAGCTAATCAAAGCTAAATTACATTTAAATGAAAACTATTTAACCCAAAACAAAGGAGAAGATGCTATAAAAAGACACAACGGACAAAATTACAATGGAACATTTGTTCTTTCTCTTGAAAATAAGTTCCTTACATCTCGAAAAGTGATTGACACAGAAGAGAAGCCATTTAAACACATGGAGTGTGGAAAGACCTTTACTCGAAGAGGTCCACTTATTTCCCATAAGATGATCCACACAGGGGAGAAGCCATATAAATGCATGCAGTGTGGGAAAACCTTTATTTATAGCAGTCGACTTAGGGTCCACAGTAAGATCCACACAGGAGATAAACCATATAAATGCACGGTGTGTGGGAAAACCTTCACTTATAGGAGTGGACTCATTAACCACAAAAAGATCCACACAGGAGAAAAGTTGTATAAATGCATGGAGTGTGGGAAAACCTTTACTCAAAGCAGTGGACTCATTAACCACAAAAAGATCCACACAGGAGAGAAGCCATATAAATGCATGGAGTGTGGAAAGACCTTTACTCAAAGAGGTCATCTTATTTCCCATAAGACAATCCACACAGAGGAAAGGCCGTATAAATGCACGCTGTGTGGGAAAACCTTTACTCGGAGTAGTGGACTTACTATGCACAAAAAGATCCACACAGGGGAAAAGCCATTTAAATGCATGGAGTGTGGAAAGACCTTTACTCAAAGAGGTAATCTTATTTCCCATAAGATGATCCACACAGGGGAGAAGCCGTATAAATGCATGGAGTGTGGAAAGACCTTTGCTTGGAGCTATGCTCTTACTTCCCATAAGAAAATCCACACGGGAGAAGCCATATAAATGCATAGAATGTGGAAAGAGCTTTGCTCAGAATGGAAATCTTATGTCAGCCTCTATGATGCTTGCTTGCTATCGGCTGCCATAGTAATGGGGGGAGAGGGAGGGAAGGTTGGCATTTGGGTGGGGGATGTGAACTGGAGAGAGATTGCCCTATGTGAAGAAATAGGGAGGACTGCTCCTATGATCTACTGCGCAGCTTGATGGACTTGTTTATGCACAGTCAAGGTCAACCGTCCCAGAATTCCAGATGGATGAAAACACCTGAAGATGCATCCCACGTGACACCAATTGGGATGGGGATTGGACGTTAACCGTGGGTCTTTGGAGGAGGGAATTGGGGATACTTTCAGTATGTAACTTTCGTGCCTTTTGCTTCAGATCTTGCTTTTCTTTCGTTGCTATCAGTTCATATTCAGTGAAAGTACCTTTCTCTACAAACACGGAGTTGGGTTTTTCCTTTCTTGAGTTTGGAATGGAGGCACGCCTGACATCTTACTTCTCACAAATGGATGCAAGCTCGTGAGAAACTAGATAGCGATAGTAATTCCACTTAGACTTATATACCACTGTAAAATGCTTTACAACACTCTCTCAGCAGTTTACAAAGTCAGCATATGGTCCCTAGCAAACTGGGTCCTCATTTTACCCACCTCAGAAGGATGAAAGGCTGAATCAACCATGAGCCGGTCAGGATCGAACTCCTGGCTGTGGGCAATTAGCCTATAGTACTGCATTCTAGCCACTGCCTCACCATGTCTATAGCTCTTTATGTATATGCATATTGTGCCTTTCTGATCCAAATGAGACAAGGTTGAATCCAACAAAATGAAATTTAATGTGGGGGGAAAAAAAGGTTTTACACCTGGGGAGGAAAAACAGTACCTGAAACCTGGCTCAAAAACAGTAACTGTGAGAGGGACCTTGGAGTCCGAATGCATGAGTGATGTGTGCAGCAGCAGCCAAAATAGCTAATATTCAAAACAAAAGTTTTCCTGTAGGAACTAAGGTCATCCTGACAGATTTAACAGATTAACAGAGTTGGAAGTGACACTATAGGTCCGTGATGGAGAACCTATAGCACGCGTGCCACAAGTGGCATGCAGAGCCCTCTCTGCAGGCACGGGAGCTGTCGGCCAGCTCAGCTCCACTGCACATGCACGACCGCTTCCCGCCAGCCAGCTGATTTTCAGATCTGCCCTGCAAGCGGCATGCGTGGGGAGGCCTACCTTTCTCCTCACTTTCTGCTGCCTGTGCCTTCCCAGATCTCCGGAGATTCCCCTCCCAGCGTTGTTTTGGGAGTTTGGGACTTCAACTCCCAGAATTCCCCAGCCAGCTATGCAGCTTCTGGGAGTTGAAGTCCATTCATCTTCAAGTTGCCAAGGTTGAGAAACACTGCTCTAGATGATAGAGGATTGGCCCAGCAGCCTCCCAGCTACCTTCATTAGACAATGATCGATGACACCTGGGGAAGAAACATTTGCTCCTTTAATTAAGGGAAAACCACGGGAACTTTTAGAGTTGGATTTTGCTAGCTATGCCCATATGGGGTATCCAATAAACATGTTCTTTGAGGAATCAACCTGCTTCTGAGTTCTAGTTTCAATGGATACATTATAATAAATAAATAAATAACTTTATTGTCATTGTACCTGTATACACAGTATACCCATACAACGAAATTCACCCAAAGACCAGGTCCAATAGACATAACAATCCCCAAACACACTCCCACCCACCACAATTCTCCACCCCTAAACCACCCAAACATCCACACAACAATCCAAGTAATACTGTCCAACAGCTCACTGATGGTGGCCCTTTAGTTCATTGTTGAGTGCAATGATAGCTCTGGGATAAAACCTATTCAGAAAACGTGTGGTCCGAGTTTTAATTGTTCTGTATCTTCTGCCAGAAGGCAACAGTCCAAAAAAATTGCAAGCAGGATGGGAAGAGTCTCTGAGAATGTTATGCAACTTTCTCAAACAGCAAGATTTGAAGATGTCCAGGGCCGGATAGCTGGAGTCTGATGATATTCTGGGCAGTTTTAATGATTCTCTGTGGAGCTTTTTTGTCTGCTACAGAGCTGCTCCCATACCATGCAAGAATGCCGTATGTCGGGACATTCTCAATGGTGCTGCGATAGTAGGACAGAAGTAGATGCTTGTTGTGGCCCGCCAGCGGCCTGCACGGATCGTGGCTGATCCTGACGACAAGGAGGCTGGTGTGTCACGCCAGCAGCCTGCGCAGCTGGCACTCGCGTCAGACAGCGAGGAGGCTGAAGAGGATGTGGTGCCAGAGGCAGAGACTCAGCCAGGGCCTTCAGAACCTCCAGAGGCTCCTTCAAGTGGAGAGAGCGAAGTGGAGGAGCCTCTCTTCAATGCTTGAGCACACAGGGCTGCTAAAAGGCAGGAGTGGCTACTCAGGAGGAGGAGGTCTCCTCGAGAGTAAGGTTTGAGAATAATTGGCCACTCCCTTAGCCTATTTAAGTCGCATGCCATTAGTAATTTCTTGCTGGAAACAACATGTAATTATTACAGAGCATTTTGGAGAGTGAGTGTCTTATTGTATCTTGTTTTCTGGGCTGGTTGCCAACCTTTGCTGGACTTTGTTTATTCTTGGTACGTTATAACTTTGATAAGGACTGTTGGTGTGTGTCACAATCCTTGGGAATCCGGAACTTGGGCAGAACAATGCTGGAATAGATTTATCTTCCTGAGCATTCTCAGGAAGTACAGCCTCTTCTGTGCCTTCTTCACAAGCATGTTAGCATTCATAGTCCATGAGAGGTCCTCTGAGATATAAATGCCCAGAAATTTAAAACTACCCACGCTCTCCACCTCCTCATCATTTATGTACAATGGTAAATGTACATCTCTCTTCCTCCTGAAGTCAATTATAAGTTCTTTAGTTTTTGTGGTGTTAAATTTGAGATTATTTTCATTACACCACAATGGTTATTCAGAACCCTGACATTAAATCAATTCACCTAAATGTCCACTCCAAATGTCCACCCTGTGCTCTGGGGTACTGAGTCAGTCCTGGCCGCTCACCCAATTTTTAAGGGAACAGAAAAAACTCAGGGGAAACCATGGAGATGGAGAAGCAAAGGGAAAAGATCACGGGGGCCAAGGTTAGTGGTGGAGCGACTCCCATTGAGATCCTACAAGCAGCAGCAAAATTACAGGCCGCCCTCCAGGCGGTGACCCAGCCGAAAGTCTGGACAGGGGCGCCAGCCACCGAGGACTTGTACCAGACTTAGGGCTATTGGCATAGTAGGAAGAGTTTCTGCCTGGATGACAAGGGGGGAGAGGCAGCTCCTCAGCCAGCGAGGACTTGGGGGTCACAGACACCCCCCCAATGTGAAGGGAAGACAGGAAAACCCTAAGCCAAACCAGGAACAGGCGGAGAGGATCCCAGGGATCCCTTCTAATCCAGAAGGATCCTTCTCCCAGCCTCCCCCACCTCCCAATAATCCCCTTTCTAACAGCTGCTGTTGCTGCTTTGGCTGTTTTATTTCGCCTTGCCTACCGGTGCTTTTTTTCTCTCCCCCGCCTCATATCTACATAGGAATTATGGAGGAGGAAGAGGTATAGAAGCAGCCTTCAGCTAATCACCCTCCAGGTTTCCAAGGATCAGGAGCTGCTGTGATGTTCTGCTGACTCTCTGGACAAGTGTGGCGTTGTACGCGGAACACACATTCCAATCGAAGCGAATTTAGAGATTGACTAGATTCTGCTCACACAACTGATTAGCCATTCCTGCAGGATTCGCATAATCTTTCATTGAGCGTTGGGAATCCACCTCCCTTTTAACCTGACTGCCTGATCCCGGAGTGAAAATGCTAATCACAGAGTTTGGGGACCTGATGCTTTTTCCCACCTCCCCCGGAGGAAATGAAAAGTTTGAAGTTTGATTTCTCTTGTCACCAAAAAGACAATTGCAAAGCATGAAGATGGAGCTGGCACAGAATGGAAGAATTCTCCTTGACTGTGTAAGAAAAGTCACAACTTCCCCAAAGGAAAAGAAATCCCTCTCCAGTGGTGGGATTCAGCCAGTTCGCACCGGTTCAACTGAACTGGTTTATTTTTTGCATAGTTTGGCAAACCGGTTAATCCACCACTGGCTGGCCCTGCCCCGTCCCACCTTTTAGGGTTGCCAATGCCATTGAGGGTGGGGAGGCTGCAGGGGTGTGACTGGGAGCCATGCTGATCAGCCGGGAGTCAGCAAATGGACCAGCCGTGCCCAGCGGCTTGGAAGCAGCCCTCCCCAGAGACCCGTATTTAACCTGGAGAGCCTCCTGCAAAATCCTGCAGCAACCACAATTCCCTCACTAACCTGCTTTCCAGCTCCATTCTCTGGCATGCAGGGCCACAAAAGAAAACCATGTGACTCCCAGTTTAAAAAAAGTTAAGTCGGACCTTCCAACGTCGGGAGATATTCCCCCCACCCCCACCTCAGGAGTGGGAAGGTCTGACTGAACTTTTTTATGACTAGTAGTCACATGGTCTTCTTTTGTGGCCCTGCACAGAGAACTGAGCTGGAAAGCAGGTTAGTGAGGGAATTGTGGTTACTCTGGAATGGGGTGGAAGTGGGGATTTTGCAATATCATTGCTTGGGTGGGGTGGAAGTGAGGATTTTGCATTACGGTCACTCATAAATAAGAACCAGTAAGAGGAATGGAAAAATCCCTATCTGCAGATCAACATTTTTCAGTGTTGGCAAGTTTAAGATGAGTGAACTTCATTCTACTACCCCGCCTACTACCATCAACAGCCTCCCACCGACCAGTACGCTCCCACAGAGAGGGGCTCCTCCAGGTGCCGTCGGCCAAACAATGTCGGCTGTCGGCCCCTAGGGGGAGAGCCTTCTCTGTGGGGGCACCGACGATCTGGAATGAGCTCCCCCCAGAGATACGGAGGATTCCGGGTCTGTGCACCTTCCGCCGCAAGTTGAAGACGCTTTTATTTCATCAAGCTGGCCTCACCTAAATCTTCTCCCTTTTAAGTGTAAATTTTAAATTTTTAATGTATTTTAAAATTATGGGTTTTAAATTATGGGTATTAATTCAGCCAAATTTATTTAATTCATTTTATTCGATTTTAAATTTTGTATATCTATGTGTTTTACTTCATGGCTGTGCACCGCCCTGAGTCCTTCGGGAGTAGGGCGGTATAGAAATTAAATAAATAATAAATAATAATAAAAAAATAATTCTGCCTTGGGAATTCTAGGAACTGAAGTCCATGCACCTTAAAGTTGCCAAAGTTGAGACACATGGGTCTACACTATAGCTTAGGATTTTCCATTCCTGTTTTATTTAGAGTTTGGTGCAATTAAATAAATCAGTTGTGGTTTCCTTAACAAATAGTGATTAAAGCGATATGAAGGTGAGCCTTCTCTGTGGGGGCACCCACCATCTGGAACGAGCTCCCCCCGGAGATACGGAGGATCCCGGACCTGCGCGCTTTCCGCCGTGCCATCAAAACATTTCTTTTCCAGCAGGCCAGCCTGGCCTAACCTCTCTTCTAAACTTTTTTAAATTCTAAAATTTTTAAATTTTAAATTTGTCTTATTTGGGATGTTTTAAATTCGTTTTTTGGGCCAATTATTTAATTGTATTTTAATAGTTTTTTTTAACATTTGTAATATATGTATTTTATTTGGCTGTTCACCGCCCTCAGTCCTTCAGGAGTAGGGCGGTATACAAATTCAATAATAAATAAATAAATAAATACATACATAAATAAACCATTACTGGATTTTTTGTGAGAAACTGAAATCAAAAGTTGATCTGGGCTTTGATGATTAGATATGGGATTATGGAAATAATGTAGACAAATGTTAATTTTAGAGTAAGAGTTTGATATATTTTTTACTTATATCTGTACCAAAGAAAGTTGGAAGTCTTTTTTTTTCCGGTTTTCCTTCTTTTCCTCTTTCTTTCTTTCACTTTCACTCTTTCTTTCCTGAGCCTTTTTTTTTTCAAATGTTTTTTGTTTATTCCTTAGCTTTGTATTTTTTGATGTATGAAGGATCAAATATTCAGCCATTGTAATTCTAAATTCCTTATTTACAGAAATCATACCAAAATTTAGAATGAAATCCGCTGGGAGCCTTCTAACCAAAAAATGTTTATCGAGAAGATAATATTTGTAGCTCAGAGTTGAACTGTGGGGTCCTTGGTGCTCTCTGAGCTCGATGGGTTTTTTTTTTGCAGATGTTTCATTACCAAACTAGGTAACATCATCAGTACTAGAAGGGAGTGGAGTTTGCTCTTATTTGCATATACTAGTGGCTTACCCTGTCAGTGTGGATCAGTTGCTTCACAAACAGTGTTTTGTTTGGTGCCAGGTTTCTACAGCTTCAGGCAGAGAAGAGCTATTCTGAACCCCTCCCTCAAATGTTCTTTAAAATACAGTTTCCCAGCATTCCTTTAGGAACCTCCAACATGCAGTCTCTGGTTACTCGTCCTAAAATGAATCCTCTTTACCTGGAGCTTCAAAATTTGCTGTTTGCTAGGAAGATGTGTAGCTAAAAGTCAGTCTATATTTAGTGTACATCTGACTTTGGGATAAAGTATATTTCAGACTATAAGATGCTCCGGAATATAAGATGCATATTAGCTTTAGAGGTGGAAAACAAGAAAAAAAAATCTGCCTCTGCCTCCCAGCATCCATCCGTATTCATCTGGCTTGCGTCCTTGTACCAAACAGCAACGTTAGCTTCAGTACATTATCGCAGCCCCAGTATGTGGCTCGCCAGCTGCTGATTGCCGGTTGGAGTGGGCTCCAAGGATACAGCTGATCAGATGTTCTAGGCGGTGAGGATCACGGCCATCCGTTCGCTACTGCCTGTTCGTTGTTGCTGATCACCTCTGCCAACATTTGGCACCTAGAACAGCTGATCGGCAGCATTCCGGGAGGCCAATCCAACTGCCAATCAGCTGCTCAGTGTTCCCTCACTCCTGCCGCAATATTCGGCCTATAAGACACACAGAGATTTCCACTCACTTTTGGGGGTGGGGGGAACTGTGTCTTAATAGTCCGAAAAATATGATATTTCTTCATAACCAAATAAAAGTGAATTTTCTGTACCAATCACACCCCCTTGCTCGCTGGATCTGGATGTCACAAAGCCAAGCCCACATTTTGTAATTACCTCCCCCACAGTTTTGATTGGCAGAGTGCTGCAGGACGCTGAGTTGCTATCATGCCCCCTGGCCACACCCACCGAGTCTCGCCTCCCCGGACAGCCCCTCCTTACCTCGCCTTATTTCATGCATTTAATACTTAATGTCAGCGTTCCAAGTAATGCATCCATAGAAATTAGAACTCCGAGGCAGGAAAGTTCCTCAAAAAACAATTGGATACATAATATTGGCACAACTGGTGGAAGCCGACTCTACAAGTTTCTGCAGCTTTCACTAATTAAACGTTTCCCCTTTTCCCCAAGTCACCAGTCACATTGTCCAATCCTAGAGCTGGCCAGTTGCTTGATTACTTTCCTCCTCCTGACCAGCCACTGTGAGGATGTCCTTGGGTTCCCACCAGAAACCTTTATTGTTTTGCCTACAAAATCCCATCTAACTATTTCCCCCCGCCCTCTGTTGTGTGTCAACACTAAAGCCTCCAAAATGGCCTCAGCTATGTTCACTTCAGGGTTGACACTTAAATAAGAATAAAAGAAGTACAGAAAACTAGATTTTGTTATAAGAGTTTTAAAATATTGCTGAAAAACTATTACATAATACCTGACAAAAACTAATAGAACTGTTACGTAAGATATTTCCGTATTGCTTTTCGATTGGCGTCCTCACTTGCAATTTTTTTCATTTTCAATTGAGCATCATCGGTCGTGTGATTTATCCTTAGCCATTTTTCCACTGTAGGAGTAGGATCCCATTCCTTTAGCGGTAGGCCGATTAGACTAATAGTCATTATGTTTGATATATTAGAAACACTTAGGTGACTTCTCTTCTCTGAACATATAATGTTCATGTTTGAAAAACCCGTTTCCGCTTCTGCTGAATTTACAGCAATTGTTCTGACAATATTTTTAGCTCTTTGAACACTTTTAGGAATTGCATAGTTCTGGGAATTTTAAAAAACGTTTCTCTCACAAAATCTCGATAATCATTAATATCAATTTGGTAATTGAAAATGTCATTACATACAAGCAATTGTTCTTCACCTGCTTTCCATGGAACTACTACTTCTTCAATATTCTAATAATCTGGTTCCAAAAATTTGAGAAATTGTAATTTATTTGTCTTGAAATTGGCTACAATCTGTTTTTAAATGTTCACAATCCATTAGCCTTTTCTTCAAATTCGTTACGATGTTTTCTAAAAGTCTTTCCCGAGGAAGCCTAACAAATCGATGATTTTTTACAAATTTTATATTTTTGAAGGATTATGAAGTAATTAATCCATCAACTTTTTTTTCGTATGGACCCTTTTCCTTTCGAAGCATTTGAAATGCTTTAATAGATCTTATCACAAGTTCTTCAGCCTTTATTATGTTTACATGTTTTGCTTGCAGTGCATTTGAAAGAAGAGAAATTTCATCTAGAATGTCAATCATCAATGCCAAATCAGTTATAAAATAGATATTTTCAAGACGGGCAGCCATACCTAAGTACTTTTCATTTGAATGAAAACAGTGATGTAGCGCCGGATAAGCGTGCCACACAGGTAGGGTTGACCTTAAACTACAGGCAGCCCATCGTGGTCCCAAAATACTACCAATTTTTATAATTTCAATTCCAAGTTGTTCAGATATTTTGGTAAGTTCAATTTGGTTCTTATTGGATTGATGAAAAATAGTATATATCTTATCAATAAATATTTTAAAATGATTTACTTGCTTTATTTCCTTTATCGAATCATCTAAAACAAGTTGGAGGCGGTGGTTTAAACAGTGCCAGATTACTATGTTTGGAAACTCTTTTGCTATCCTAGTGCTCACTCCAGATTTTCTCCCAAGCATAACGCTGGCGCCATCGGAGCAAAATCCTATCAAATTTTTTTTTAGGTAGTTCTTAGTAAGCCCAACATTATTTAAACTTTGCATAACTGAAGAATATATTGTCTCTGCATCTTGTTTTTCCAATTCAATTAGCTCAAGGAAAATCGTTGGTGATGTATCTGAATCCTCAACTTTTAAGAAAAGTATCACAACTGGTTTGCAAAATATTGTTGAGGCTTCGTCAATAATCAAGCACATTTTTGGATTATTTTCAATAATTTTACTAAATAATTGTTTTTTAATTTCTTCTGCAATGAAATCTACTATTTTTACTGCAGTTTTACTTGAAAGTAAACCCATTCCCGTATCTAATCCATCTCCTCTTTTATGTCTGAAAATGGTTTACTTCTTTGTGCCAGGCTGTAAACTGTATTAAATACCCTACAAGTAGTTTGTTCAAATTTTTCATTCATAATATAGTTTGGTATTGAAACCTCCTCACATTGTTTTATGTTCTCTTTACAAATATTATGAGCTCTTGATGAAAAATGTTCTTTCATTTTTTTCCTTAGAGAAGCTTGCTTTACCTCTCTGTTTCTCCCTGATGCCTCAATCTGAAAATGTTTCCATTCTTTTGACACATGAACACTTTTCATTTTTAGGACGCCGTGTCTTTCGCAATACGTGCAACCTAGCTTTTTGTTAACAACTTCCAAACCCTCATATTTTTCTTTGAAATTGTTATATTGTTGCACTGTCCAGCATTCAGGAAGACTGTTTTCAATTTTGGAGGTATCGTTGTTCATTTCAATAACTGACGGACTGCTTTCTCCAAGTTGGAGTGGTTGGAGTTGTTGGGCTTGTTGTGCTTGTGACTGTTTTATGTTATCCAAGGCCAATTCTGATACAACGGATTCCCATCTTGGTTTCTTACTGATTCTTACTGAAAAATTCTGTTGCCTTTTCATCCTGTTAAGGGCAACTGCAAAAAAATTAAACAATGTTTTAGTTTGGACTCAATTGTAGTCCCTATACATGTGAGACAGAGCAACTTACCAAAAACTAGGCGAGCGGCCAAGGCAGATGAGGCGAGAAAAGAAGTGGCTGGGAAGGGTGGGGCAGGGCCAGCCAGTGGTGGGATCAACCGGTTCGCCAAACTGCACAAAAAAGTAGCGGAATGAACCGGCTGAATCCCACCACTGACCACAACCACATAGTTATAAAAAGCCTAAAATCACTGATCCCCTTCATTCTAAATCACAAATGGCAGCATTTCAATAAATGAGAATACTTGTAGCTCAGGGTTGAAATAGCAATAGCACTGAGACTTATATACCACTTCATAGTGCTTTACTGCCCTCTCTAAGCAGTTTCCAGGGTCTGCATATTGCCCCCAACAATCTGGGTCCTCATTCTACTGACCTTGGAAGGATGGAAGGCAGAGTCAACCTTAAGCCGGTGAGGATCGAACTCCTGGCAGTGAGCTGAATTAGCCTGCAATACTGCATTCTAACCACTGCGCAAAAGGGAGCTGGACTTTCTTGAAAGAACTTCATGCAGTTTAGGAGCACCTTCCCTTACCTGGTGAGATGCTCAAACTTGGACTTTCCTGGGGGATCTTCCAAATAAGCAGTTCCTGGGAAAGATTTAAGGGGTTGCTCTTTCCATTCGGATGTTGAGGAATGGCCCCCGAGAGAGGAGTTTGGACCTGATAAGAAACACAGAAGGGAAAATAAAGAGACCACTCAAAGAAATGAATTATTATTCTTTGCTCTTAGTTTGTGGGGTGGAAAATATCAATTGTTTCAAATATGTCCCCTGGAAGCCACAACTGGACATCTTCAGAAGAAAAGCCCTCGTATTAATAATCCCAAATTAAGATCATATATCAATGTCCCAAATATGCTTTTTCCAAAAGAGAACAAGACTTCCTTGGTTTTTTCCTTTGAAAATGTCTCGCTTGTCATCTAAGAAGCTTCTTCAGTTCTTCAGAACTGAAGAAGCTTCTTGGATGAGAAACAAAAGGTTGACCTGGGTGATTGAGAATCTCCATAGATGACATATATTAAGATGTATATTAAGACCCCCCTTTGAGCTCTGAAGATGAAGGTCTCTCACCGGCAGCTCAACCTCCTCTTTCTTCACCTCCACCTGGCTCAGGAGGAAACTTTCAGCCAGGGCCACCGCCTGAGAGCTGGTCTCTGCTCCACGCTCCCGCACCCAGCTCTGCATCTCTGGGGGCAGAAGGAACAGGAGCTGCTCCAGAACAATCAGGTCCAGCATCTGTGCCTTTGTATGTTTTTCTGGCTTCAACCACTGATGGCAAAAGTGATGGAGTCGGCTGCAAAGTCCTTGGGGACCCTCAGCCTCCTGATAATACGCCTTCCTGAAGTTTTCACGCTGGACCTCCGAGCTGATAGACTCTTCCTCTCCTTCGTCTGAGTCCGGTTCAGTTTTTATCTTGACCTCCACATAGCTCTCAAACTGAGCAGCAGGAGAGTTTTGTCCAGCTTCTGCATCTAATGGCTGTTGTCCCTCCATTTTTTCTCTATTCTCTAATCCAGGTGCAAAAGATGCTGACAATTGCTTGGATCTCCAAGACCAAGAATATGCAACGGGCTAATGGATCTCCACCGGACTTATATTGCCCTGGACAAATCTCAGTACACCAGCTAGCCTTCCTTACGTATGAGATAGTTTGGTCCACAAACAACTTCTACCTGCAAATTTGAAAAGAAAACAAGATTTCAGAATCAATGTTGCATTTTCAGCTGTTTTACACTTATTTTTCTTTTCCAGGTAGGCCTAAGCCAGAGCAGAGAAAGCATGTGGGTCTCTCTGGATAGGAGAGGTAGAAGGAAAATAACCCGGAATATAGAAATTTAGGAGGATTTTCAATTTCTTCTCCCTCACAGCCCACCCTCTTTACTTCTTCAGGGAACGGATCTCATTCATGGCTCTCTCCAAGCAACGAACTCTTCATTCTGGAAACTAGTAAGCAACACACATCAATTGGTCGCTTGAGTTCAACATTGGCTGAAGCAAACTCTGAATCTCAGACTAAACATTTGTAGGCACTTTCAGTTCCCCCCTTTAAGTGTCTGATATTCATCCTCCCAGGTCTTTCTTCTTCCCAGGGATGGTGGGGTGGGGTAGGATGGCTTTGTTGCATCCTCAAAGTTTGGAAATCCCTGGCTGGTTGAGTCCTTCTGACGGAAATGCCCCTTTCAAGACACCCAACAAAGGCACGGGTTCACACAACATGCCCAAACCAGATGAATGGACACCGACGTCTGTGCTCACATTAAATGCGCCAACCACACTGCCAGCTTAATGGGATGTGGAGTCCTTGATGTCCTCTGAGCTTGGCTGCTTTCTTTCTGATTGCCCATTACACAACTAGATAACATCAACAATGCTAATGGGGATTCTCTGGTCCACACCTTCTCCAGAAATACCTGTGTGGTTCCCCTCACCCCAGCTGAGCCCTTGGAGTGGAATCCAGCATTTTGGGGGAAAGTGGGGAGTCCTTCCCTCTCCTCCCACTCCCACTCAGGGGCTTTCTCAGGAAATGGGGAGGGGGGAGATAGTTCCCCACCTAGTCCTGCTTGTATTTTGTAATTTATTTATTTATTTATAAATAAGGACTCAGGGCAGTGCACAGCCAAACAATAAAACACATACATACAAAATTTAAAAATAGAATTAAAATCAAATTAAATAATTTTGGCCCGGACAAATTAAAACCCCAAACTATTTAAGACCAATTTAAAAATTGAATATATAAAATACTAAAAAATATTTAAAAATTAAAAATCTTTTATAAAAGAGGGAGAAAATCAGGCCAGGCCCGCCTGGTGAAATAACAAGGTCTTTAAAGCGCGGCAGAAGGTGCGCAGATCCGGGATCCTCCGTATCTCTGGGGGAAGCTCGTTCCAGATAGTAGGTGCCCCCACAGAGAAGGCTCTCCCACAGAGAAGGTGATTCAAGCCTTCGCCCTGGCTCCTCCCATTCAGGGGCTCCCCCCAGGAAATGGGGAGGAGGAGGGCTCTCCCAGATCCCATCCTCCTTCCTGGGATGATGCTGTTTCTTCCAGGGAGGGGAGGAAGGAACACAGCTGATCCAAAACCCTTCCCCACCCCTTTGCATATGCATGCAAAGGGGTGGCAGGGGAACATGGGGCCAAGGCCTTCCCCTGCCTCTCGCTGGGAATCCAAGGATTGGATGAGACCCCCCCCTTGCAAACATGAGGATCCCCCCCAAAGAGCCCCCTCCCCACTCACCAGGCAGCGGGGCAAAAGTTCTAGAAAGGCCAGAGATTAACCTTCTTCCTTCCAAACAAAGCTGAATAGGGAAATTATCCCATCAATAAACATAGAATTAAGCGTCACCAAAAACCAATTTCAGACCAAAACTCAGAAAGGGTATATAAAATCACACTGAATGTCTGTGTCTGAATGTCAATCTTTCTGGCTAGCCAAGAAGCCTTGCTGAATGTCGCTCAGCTTGGTTCCTTTTTTCCGGCAGCTCTGCTTCGTTATTCAATTTATTCTTCAAAGTGTTGATCATTAATCCCCGCTGGAAGAAACCCAAGGGGAGAATTTCCTTCCAACACTGGTAAGACCTTCAGTGCTTCTACACACACACACACACACACACACACACACACACACACACACTTCCACGGTGAGAGTGCCCCTCCCACAATCATGTGGGTTCCGCCCTTCTGGAAAGCTTCTGCCTTTTGAGCTTTTCCTGGCAAAGGGGCAGCTGGAGGGCAGGTTTTACCCCAAAGCTGTGGGGTTTTCTGACATCACAAATAGCAAAAATAACTTTGTGGTTCATCCCTTCCCCTTAAAGTGGACTCCAGCAGTTTGGGGGCAGTCTGCTTGCCTTTTGTAACGCAAGCCTTCCCTCCCCCGCACTCCCATTCAGAGGCTTTCTCAGGAAATGGGGAGGGGGGGAGATAGAAGGCTCCCCCAGATCCTCTCCTTCTTCCTGGGGATGATGCTGTGTTTCTTCCAGGGAGGGGGAAAGCAACACAGCTGATCTGAAACTCTGTTCCCCCCACCATCACCCTGCTGGCACATGCATGCAAAGGGACGGCAGGGAAACATGGGGCCAGGGTCTTCCACCGCCCCTTGCTAGGATTCCAAAGACTGGATGAGGACTTTGCAAGACCCCCTTGCAAGTCCCAGCACGGTTCCCCCCCCCCCACACACACACTAGGCAGCGCCCATTACCTGCAAGGCTTTGCAGCGGAAGAGCCCAAGAGGGGAGGGAGTGGCAAAGTCCTAGAGAGGCCAACTTTTCAGTGACATCATCACCCCTCTGAAAATCCCAAGGTCCACCCAAAGTTTGAAACCCCGCACACCGGAACAGGTCAGACGTTACTGCGCATGCTCGGTTTCTTCCTGAAACTTCTTTACGCCACCAATCCCGCTTTTGGCTTTTTAATCTTTCCCCTTCTCTTCTCCCCCCCCCAGATCGCGCCCCCTAGTGGCTTCTGTGTGCCACGCAGAGAGCAGAACCCCCTTGCAAAAGGAATGGGAGGAAGAAGACTTTTTTGCAGGAGGGCCTCAGGATGATGGGAGAGCTCAGGATGATGGGAGCGGTGGTGGGATTCAGCCAGTTCTAACCGGTTCGGGAGCAGCAGTAACTAAACTTTTTCCTGGACTTCATGGTACCGGCTGAATAACCTTCCTCCCCAACCCCGCCTCCTCTCCCCATCTGTCACCCCCCAAATTGCACCGGTAAAAGGGGACCGCGAGGGAGGGTTTACTTAACTCAAACAGTCGAAAAGAGGGCTGTGAAAATGTTTACAGACCCCTCACATCCTGGACATAAATTGTTTCAACTCCTACCCTCAAAACAACGCTATAGAGCAGAGGTCTTCAAACTTGGCAGCTTTAAGACTTGTGGACTTCAACTCCCAGAATTGGAGTTGAAGTCCACAAGTCTTAAGGCTGTCAACTTTGAAGACCTGTGGTATAAAGCACTGCACACCAGAACAATTAGACACAAGGACAATTTTTCCCCGAACGTCATCACTCTGCTAAACAATTCCCTCAACACTGTCAAACTAGTTACTAAGTCTGCACTACTATTAACCTTCTCATCGTTCCCATCACCCATCTCCTCCCACTTATGACTGTATGACTGTAACCTTGTTGCTGGTATCCTTAAGATTTATACTGATTGTATTGATGATTTGATTGCTTATTTGTTCCCTATGACTATCATTAAGTGTGGTACCTTATGATTCCTGACCAACGTATCTTGTCTTTTTACGTACACCGAGAGCCTATGCACCAAGACAAATTCCTTGCGTGTCCAATCACACTTGGCCAATAAAGAATTCAAGTCAAGTCAAGTCAAGTCTACTCTACTCTAGTAGTCTAGTCTAGTCTAGTCTACTCTAGTCTAGTCTATTTTCTATAGTGAGGGGCAGGAAGCCATGGCCCGCGGAGGGGGAGAAGAGGAGGTGAAGAGATGGCAAGAGGAGCACCGTCTCCCTCCAAGCGTCCCCAATGAAAGGCAGCCTCCCCCCCCACCACTCGCGCCTGCGCAGTTCCCGGCAAACAAGCCCGGGAATGGGAGGGGCGCCTCGGAAAGAAACAGAGCGGGCGGCCGCGTCAAACCGGAGGCCTTTTTAAGGAGACGCGCAACTGTTGGCGGCCGGCAAAAAAAAGAGACGCGGGCGGGCGGTGCTCTCTTGTCTCTTCTACTTTTCACTTTCTTTTACTCTCCTAAATCCCTTTCGCTTTCTGGGGGCTGGAAGCGCTCGCAGCCTCCAGTGGCGCTCCTGGCTTTATCCAGGGACAGGGAGGGCCATCCTAGGGAGCCACCCCACTTCCCACGCCTGGGAACCCACAGCCCCTTTTTTTCTCCCCCCCCCTCCACCCCACTTCCCCAAGGAGAGCTGATGGCCCCCTCCCCAGCCCCTCTCCTCCCCCTCCCTTACCAAGAGGCTCCAAGAGATCCTCGCCCAGCAGAACCGGTGGATGATCCTGCCCCACAAGCGGCCCCGAAGAGAGAGGGAGAAAGACGCAGGTGCTTCCAGCCCCAGAGACGGAAACGGCGGGTCTGGATTGGGGGGTGGGTGGGTGGGTGGGAGGAGTTTTCGTAGAACCTCGGAAGTGGGAGGGGCCCAGAAAAAAAAAAAGCAAGGAGGACCAATGAGGATTCTCCCTTCCGCCGCGTCATCGGTTTGTGGGCAGAGTCTCCCTTGTCTTCCCCCGCCGGAGGCGAGTTGGATTTTAGAGGGAGGGGAGGGGAGAGAGGGGGAGGGGAGGGGAGGGGGGTCTTCTTTCTGCCCCCGCTGGATCCTACCTGGAGTAGGGTCTTTGCTTGCTCTTTGCTTGTAGGTTGTGGGATGGTCCACCCGGAGTGGATTTAAGCGCTTCTCTGAACCTTACACTTCCTTTCCTTTCCTCCTTTTCCTTTCCTTTCCTTCCCTTCCTACCCTCCTTTCCTTCCTCCCTCCCTCCCTCCTTTCCTTCCCACCTTCCTTTCCCTCCCTTCCTTTCCTTCTTTTTCTTTCCTTCCTTCCTTCCTTCCTTCCTACCTACCTACCTTCCTTTCCTTACCACCTTCCTTTCCCTCCCTCCCTTCCTCCCTTCCTTTCCCTTTTCTTTCCTTCCTTCCTTCATCCCTCCTTCCTTTCCTTTCCTTTCCTTTCCTTTCCATTCCTTTCCTTCCTACCTTCCTTTCCTTCTTTTCTGTTCCTTCCTTTCCTTTCCTTCTTTTCCTTCCTTCCTTCCTTCCTTCCTTTCTCCTTTCCTTTCCTTCCCACCTTCCTTTCCTTTCCTTCCCACCTTCCTTTCCCTCCTTCCTCCCTTCTTTTCCTTCTTTTTCTTTCTTTCTTTCCTTCCTTCCTTTCTCCTTTCCTTTCCTTCCTACTCTCCTTTCCTTCCTCCCTCCCTCCCTCCCTCCTTTCCTTCCCACCTTCCTTTCCCTCCCTTCCTCCCTTCTTTTCCTTCTTTTTCTTTCTTTCTTTCCTTCCTTCCTTTCTCCTTTCCTTTCCTTCCCACCTTCCTTTCCTTTTCCTTTCCTTTCCTTCCTACTCTCCTTTCCTTCCTCCCTCCCTCCCTCCTTCCCACCTTCCTTTCCCTCCCTTCCTCCCTTCCTTTCCTTCTTTTTCTTTCCTCCCTTCCTTCGTCCCTCCTTCCTTTCCTTCCCACCTTCCTTTCCTTTCCTTCCTTCCTTCCTCCCTCCTTTCCTTCCCGCCTTCCTTTCCTTCCTTCCTTTCCTTTCCTTCCTCCCCTCCTTTCCTTCCTCCCCTCCTTCTTTTCCTTTCCTTCCTTCCTTTCCATTCCTTCCCTTCCTACCCTCCTTTCCTTCCTTCTCCCTCCCTCCCTCTTTTCCTTCCCACCTTCCTTTCCTTTTCCTTCTTCCCTTCCTTTCCTTTTTCTTTCCTTCCTTCCTTCGTCTCTCCTTCCTTTCCTTTCCTTTCCATTCCTTCCCTTCCTACCTTCCTTTCCTTCTTTTCTATTCCTTCCTTTCCTTTCCTTCTTTTCCTTCCTTCCTTTCCTTCTTTTCCTTTCCTTCATTCCTTCCTTTCCTTTCCTTCCCTTCCTTCCCTTCCTTTCCTTTCCTTCCTTTACTTTTACTTCCTTCCCCATCCATCCATCCATCCATCCACAATCCTTAGGATACTATGAAAAACTAGATTTTCCCCTGAGGAATCTTTGAAAAAGAACCTTTCCTGGATTTGGCCTCTTTCAGCTGCAGCCTTTTGGCCTCCCAGCCCCTCCCCAATTGTGGGGCTGCCCCCTGCCTCTGGGGGATGCTGACCTTCCCCTCCCATCATCCAAGAGGCCCTCCTTTCAGAGTAGCTCCAGGCTGCTCCAGGGTGATTCCTCCTCCATCCGCCCCAGTCTGGAGCTGGAAGGAGCTCAGTTTCAGGGACTCAATCAAATCACAATAGAGCTGGAAGAGACCTTGGAGATCTTCTAGTCCAACCCCCTGCTCAAGCAGGACACAGAGGAGGAAAGAGCGAAGGCAGATTTTGTCCAGGCTGCAGGGATTGTCTGTGGCTTGGCCTTCAGGTCCAACAAGTCCTAGAAAACGTTGCACAAGCTGTAGACTTCTTGGTCAGACAAATTCAGTGAATATGTTTTATTTATTTACAAATTTGTTGCGTATCCAGTACAGAAACATTTATTTGTTTAATAATAATAATAATAATAATAATAATAATAATAATAATAATAATAATAATAATAATAATAATAATAATAATAATAATAATTTTATTGATATACCGCCCTTCTCCCGAAGGACCCAGGGCGGTGTACAGCCAGAATTAAAACATAAATATACAGATATCTTGGTTAAAATTAATTAAAATCATTAAATAGTTTTGGCCGAATTTTAAAACCCAAAATTAAAACCCAATTTAAAATCATTCAGTTAGACAGCCCCGCCTGTCGGAACAGTAGGGTCTTGAGGGCACAGCGGAAGACCCGGAGATCAGAGATGTTACGAATGTCCGGGGACAATTCATTCCAAAGGGCAGGAGCTCCGACAGAGAAGGCTCTCCTCCTGGGTGTCGCCAGCCGACATAACTTGGCCGACGGTACCCTGAGGAGTCCCTCTCTGTGGGAGCGGACTGGTCGGTGGGAGGCTGTTGGTGGCAGAAGGCGGTCCCGTAGATATCCTGGTCCTATGCCATGGAGTGCTTTAAAGGTGGTAACCAACACCTTGAATTGCACTTGGAAGACCACTGGGAGCCAGTGCAGCTCGCGCAGGAGAGGTGTTACATAGCCAGATCATCATGCAAACAGAATTCACTCACATAAATGGAAACGGACACATCTTGTTTTTGCAGTAAAAAAAATGGATTTATTAAGAAATAAATAGATCAGTTCTATCTAAACCATATCTTGAAGTAAGAAAGGAACCCAAAGGAGAGACATAAAATTCTTTCATCTTTTTCCTAAATACTGAGGTATAAGAATAGGCCAATTCTCTCTCACACACACACACACAGACAGGGAAACAAATTTATTTTACATTCTTTCAAGGACCAGAGGTAGAAGGGAAAAAAAAACACCTCTGGCAATCAGGCAACTCAGCTGGGATCCTCAGACCCTTTTAAAAGCATTTTTTTTACAACCTCTTCGGCCTAGAAAAAATGCTTTTAAAAGAAAAAAAAAAGACTGACAATCGGGCAACTCAGCTGGGATCTTCAGACCCTTTTAAGAGCATTTTTTTTTACAACCTCTTCGGCCTAGAAAAAATGCTTTTAAAAGAAAAAAAAAAGACTGACAATCAGGCAACTCAGCTGAGATCATCAGACCCTTTTAAAAGCATTTTTTTTACAACTCTTAGGCCGAAGAGTGGTTGGAAATTGAGCATTACCTGTGTATGAGGATTGAATGCAGCATTGGGTTCTTTTCTTTTAAAAGCATTTTTTCTAGGCCGAAGAGGTTGTTAAAAAAAAAAAGCTTTTAAAAGGTTAAAAAAAAGGCCTCTGACGATCACATCGGTCTAGAAATGAGGTAGCCTTCAATGGGACAAGAGCTCCTTCATTGGCCAGGAAGCTTATGATTCTTTCCCACAAGAGTTAGTCATTGTTCTCTTTGGATATATAGCGTGCTCTCATTCCGCAGAAGGTAGAAAGATCAGCTCATCTGGCCAAACTTCCTGTCCAGTATAGAATCCACTAAATATTTTTATTTATTTTTTTTATTTTATCATATTTGTATACCACCCTACTCCCGGAGGACTCAGGGTGGTGAACAGTCAAGATAAAAATACAAAAAACATACAAAAGTTAAAAGCTATTAAAAATAGATTAAATAATCTGGGCTCAAGAAACAAATTTAAAACATCCAATTTATATAAAACATTTAAAACCCAATTTAAAAGGGAGAGTTAGGCCAGACCAGCCTGTTGGAATAAAAACGTTTTTAGGACGCGGCGGAAGGTGCGTAAGTCTTGGATCCTCCGTATCTCCGGGGAGAGCTCATTCCAGATGGCAGGTGCCCCCACAGAGAAGGCTCTCCCCCTGGGGGCCGCCAGTCGACATTGTTTGGCCGACGGCACCCTGAGGAGCCCCTCTCTGTGGGAGCGAACTGGTCGGTGAGAGGCTACTGGTGGCAGAAGGCGGTCTCGTAAGTACCCTGGTCCTGAGCCATGGAGCGATCTAAAGGTGGTCATCCAACCTCTCTTCAAAGACCTCTGGCAAAGGAGGATTTATGACAACATGTGGCAGCCTGTTCCACTGAGTGACAGCTTTTATAATTAGGAATTTCCTATGATTTTTATCCAGATCCTACTTCCCGGTAGTTTTAATCTACTGTTTCTGGTCCTGCCCGTTTGGGGCAACAGGAAATAAACCCATTCCTTCTTCTAGGTGATGCCCCTTCAAAGATTTGTACACTGGTATCCCATTTCTCCTTGGTCATCTTTTCTGGAGGCCAAACATCTCCAGATAACTTTAACGATTCCTCCTCATTTCCAGACGTTCGTCATCCTTACGTCCTTCTCAAAACGTGGACCAATTTGTTAATATTTCTTCTGATCGCTGCTTTGAGGTGTGCATGGGGGGCGTGGGCTACATCCAATGCCACTCAGGGTACTGTGTGTGTGTGTGTGTGTGTGTGTGTGTGTGTGTGTGTGTGTGTGTGTAGGGGTAAAATTTGAAAATATGGCAGAGTGAGTGTTGCAATGTAACCTTTCACCCCACTCCCAATTTTTGAATGTGTGCCCAATTTGATGCCGGTACAGCAGTATGCATTGTGATGCTTTGTCCGCCATCTTGGCCAATTTGGAGCCAAGGGACTTCCTGAGTATTTTCACTTTCATTTCCCGACCCTTGAGTGCCACGAATACGCTTTCCATTTCAGAGTGGCTGTGTTTGCTTACTTGATGCAGCTTGGTACCCCTTCCGCCATTTTTCTGAAAAGGCAAACAAAAAGTTAGACCCAAATCTTTTTAACCCTTTACAAAGGGCTGTGTAAGTTAATATTTTATCCAACCCTTAGAGTGTAGCTTCAGGGATTTAGCCTGTTCTGCCCCAGCTACGGACCCCAAAGAACGCAGCACACGCAAAGTCTGTACAAACCTTATTTTACTAAATTAAATCAGTCTTTTTCAAACAAAGGCTGTTAATTAACTTTCTTAACAGCCTACAAGAATCCAAAGAATAAATAATCGTAATCTTACTATGGTTGGCAGAAGGCCCAGAAGTAATTTGCAGGAAACTGATAAGAGAACTAAGGACACGAAGGAGAGTGAACGAAGTTGTTCCCTGCAAATTGCCTCAGTCGTCCTCCTTCCTTAGGCTAAGGGAGTGGCCAATTAGCCCCAAGCCTTACTCTGGAGGAGACCTCCTCCTGAGGAGCCACTCCTGCCTTTTGGCAGCTCTGCACGCCCATGCATCGAGAAGAGGCTCCTCCTCTTCTTCCTCTTCACTTATGGGAGCTTCTGGAGGTTCTGAAGGCCCTGGCTGAATCCCCGCCTCTGACACCACATCTTCTCCAGCCTCCTCATTGTCCGACTCGAGTGCCAGCTGCACAGGCTGCTGGCGCAGCACCACACCAGCCTCCTCGCTGTCGGAATCAGCTACTAGCTGCACAGGCCGCTGATGGGCCACAACATAGCCTTTTAATTTAGCAGCACCTAGTCTAGCTCGCAAACTATACTAGTCCTAGTTTAACTTTAGGATATAGGTTAAGGTTATAAACCTTATATAGACCATGCTTTTCTAGTCCCACCTTAGGCAGGGTAGGTGGCTGGTGGCTTTGGCCAGTCATTCTCGGTCAACCATAGGAAACAAGCCATGACGAAACACGTAGGAAAAACCTTGTCAGGAAAACCACAGGGATTGTCCAGGAAATTACCAGGAGTCCATGCTGATTTGAAGGCACACCCCATTCCCCAAAGTTTAATTTTAACTTTAGGCTTATAAGGATGAAATGGTTGTAGAGTATCCCGTACCAGAGGCACCATATTGTAGAAAGTTAGCACCCACCCCTCTCCTAGAAGGATGAAATATTTTGAGAAATATTAAAAAGGCAAAATATTATATTTCCCTGGATGAGAAAGGGAGAAACATGTTTTTTTTAGAAGGAGAAAGCAGCTTCCACCCTTCTTAATAGCCCTTAGCAGATGTCAACACTTAAGAGATAAAGAGCTTATTGAGAAGTAGATAGCTCTATTCATAAGCAAATAGCCATCAGGCCGGGCTATCAACATAATAATTTTAATTGGGGTATTTTAAATTTTTGGGGTTTTAATCCGGCCAAATTTATTTAATTATTTTAATTTTTAATCATTGTTGTGTCTTGTGTTTTTAAATTGGCTGTACACCGCCCTGAGTCCTTCGGGAGAAGGGCGGTATAGATATAAATTTATTTATTTATTTATTTATTTATTTATTTATTTATTTATTTATTTATTTATTTATTTATTTATTTATTTATTTATTTATTTATTATCACCCAAGATCCAACACAGGAAAAAGCTATTAAGTCGTAATAGGAATTTCCCAAGACCCTTTCAGAACACAAGCCCCTTCATTGCATCACCCCCAGCAAACTTCAACAAAACCCGGGAGCTCAGACAACCTATAGAGCCAGCTAAGACCTCTACATAACCCCTACATGGCTCCATGGGAGTCTGACAACAGCCAATAGAACAAATGTCCTTGCACAGAACAGGAAGCTCAAGTGCAAAGCCCAAGAGAAGGTCTAAAAACCTCTCACTCTCAACTCCGTGTGGTCCGCTGCACTAGAACCCATGGGGTTCTGCTTCATCAATAAATGGACCCTCTTTTCAATCGGCCTCCAGCCCCCATTTTGTCTCCAGTGCCTTTCTCCTGGCTTGGAACTGGACCAGATGGATACTTCTTCCCACAGTGTTATAAGTCATTGTATCTGACAATCAGTAAAAATCCACACAGTAAACTAATTACAGTAACTAAACACAGTAACTAATTACTTAGTTACGCACTCAGCAGACTAAGAACCATCAACCCAATTCTTAGCAGAACCAGAAGCTCAGAAGGCCAAGAGGTTGAGAGCATTCTTTCACTTGGAGAGGCCAGGAGGCCCATAGGATACAAGACAGTCACTAAGAAGGTGAGCCTTGCTTACAGCTTGTAGGATAGGGGCTGTCAGCAAGTCAACAACTGGAGCAGCTCTTCAATTTTGGACTGGGTGGGCCATGTCTGAATAGGAGAGAGAGAGTTCTGGAGGTACCTGGATGCCTTTTGGATCCAGAAGAAGTTCTGACAACTGCCCTGTTCTTCTACATTTATTTATTTATTTGTTTTAATTTGTATACCGTCCTTCTCCAGCAGGACTCAGGGCGGTGAACAGCCAGAATAAAACAGAACATACAAAATTTAAAAACAGTTTAAAATAATTAAATATTTTTGGCCGCAATTTAAAAACAAACCCAATTAAAATCAATTAAATTTAACCAAAACTGTGGGATCAAGCCAGCCCGGCTAGGTGAAATAAATAAGTTTTCAGGGCCCGACGAAAAGTCCGGAGGTCTGGTATTGTACGTATCTCTGGGGGGAGGTTGTTCCAGAGGGCGGGCGCTGCCACGGAGAAGGATCTCCCCCTGGGGGTCACCAGCCGACACTGTCTGGCGGATGGCACCCTGAGGAGGCCCTCTCTGTGCGAGTGTACTGGCCGGTGGGAGGCTATTGGTAGCAGAAGGTGGTCTCGTAAATACCCCGGCCCTAAGCCATGGAACGCCTTAAAGGTGGTCACCAACACCTTGAAGCGCACCCGGAAGACCACCGGGAGCCAGTGCAGCTCGCGCAGGAGGTGTCACATAGATTGCAGTTATCAAACGTGTGTCATGTTGCCATCACGGGACGTTTCGTGATTTTTTTTTCCTTTCGTGGAGCTGGGGTGGGTATGGCCCACATGTGATGCATCGGGGCCACGGGTTGCCAGTTTGACACCCCTGTTCCAGCAGTGAAATCCATTTACCTGCACTACTGGTTCGGGTGTGGGAGTGTATGTGTGATATGCGCATGCACGCCTCTTCTGTTCATGTAAAAAAGGGACGTAATGACGTCCAGGTGGGTGGGCGGAGCCTCCCACCACCGGCGCTACCAGTTCAGCACATCGGATAGAAAGGGGGGGGATTTCACCGCTGCCCTGTTTTAGATGTAAAAACGAACTGGTGGCAGAAGAGCTGCTACCATTGAGCAATGTAGGACAGGAGTCTCCAATCCCCAGGCGGTGGCTAGGTAATGGGCCATGGCCTGTTCGGAATTGGGACATGCAAACAGCAGGTGAATGTATGCACCTTCCGCTTGCATGGAACCATTTCCTCTCCCCACCCCCCCCATGCCCGGGCAAGTCCACAAAGCCAGAAAGATTGGAGACCACTTGTGTAGGAAAGTCTGAAAGATATAAAATTGAGTTACCGCTTGCTTGGCTCTTTCTATTTAGAGACTTCCAGGCCTAATCCATGGGCAGGTGCTATTCTCGTGATGGGTGGGGATTGCTCTGCTCATTGATCCATGTTTAGAAAGTGTTGGATGTTATTAGTTTTGGGCACTGCCCATTATAAAAGAAGTGTTTTTCTCAGAGAATAGGAGGGAGGCTGAAACTGCCACCAAGAGGCTTCTACCAACAAGAAGTAGTCTCAGTTTACTTACTGGTGTAGAACAGGATCCCAATTACCAGCAAGACAGAAGCAGCCAGAGCACCTAGGATACTGCCCACGAGGATCCCTGTTGCAGATGAAACTAAGAAAAGAACAAAAAGTTGGCCTCAGATAGAAAGTCCATACAGAGAGTGGTAAGGACAGCCGAGAAGATTATAGGAAGCTCACGTCCTGTTATTCAGGCTACTGCTTATAAACACTATATGCTTAGAGCAGGGATGTCAAACTCGATTTCATTGAGGGCCGCATCAGGTTGTGTTTGACCTCGGAGGGCCGGTGTGTGTCTCTGTGTGTGTCGTGTGTGGGCAGGGTGGACGTGGCCCTGGTGGGCGTTTGACACAGGCTCAATATCTTTTTCCCTTCTCTGCTTCCTTTCCACAGTTCTTTACTATAACCATTTTCCTCTCTTCTACCACATATTACTGACAAACATTTATTACTTATTCTTCATACTCCACTAAACTTTTTATTTCTAAATTTATAACACATTGTTTAACAGTAAATTGCTTTTCCAGGCAGAAAAGCTATTTATACTATTGTATTTTTATTATTCAACTAATAATAAAAATACAATAGCATAAATACCATGATAATACAAGACCTACAGCAGAGGTAAATTTCCAGGATAGTAAATAGAAATGGCTGTCAATTACAGATTGTTGATTGTAGATTAAATGGACCTACAGTATGTAAAATCTGGCATTAAAATCTGTAGTATTAACATAGGATGTTGCCTGTTTTCTATCCGGATCAGGCAGTTACTTGAGGCCACATAATTGTGATCCAGTCCATTCCACTCCTGCAGCACTCTACCAGCCTAAAACGGGCCACGAGGGGGGCATGCGGGGCCTCTGTGTGGCCCATTTTCGGCCAGCAGAGTGTTGCTGGAGGCCGGGGAGGCCAAAAATGGGCTGCCAGGAGTGGGGCTGTGGGGTGCACACAGCCCGTTTTGGCCAGCAGAGCAGGGCTGGGTTCTAAATTTTTTTACCACCAGTTCTGTGGGTGTGGCTTATTTTGTGGGTATGGTTTGATGGTCATGTGACAATTCTGTAGGATTTAGCAGAGGTACTAGTCTACCAGGCTTTTAACTGCTTGCAGAGCTGTACCAGTCTACCCATTTGTTTTTTGAGCGCACTGGTCTACCGTCACACTGCCTTTTAACACTGATCAGGTGTAGGGCAGCCCTTTGAAGCCCCACGGCAAGAGTTTAAATAGTTTTTTTCCTTCTAGCCAATCAGCTGGGACTCGGGAGGCAGCGAATAGATTGGGGGCAGGGCCAAATAAAACGTAAGAATTACGTGGGAGGACCAGGCAGCTCCCAAACAAAGAGAACCGGTTCGGTGACATCATATCGTCACCACTATTGGCTCGGCCAAACCGGGCTGAACCGGGAGGAACCCACCACTGCAGCAGAGGCACTGTGGGCTGGCCCTTTGATATTTTCAGGCTGGCCCCACGGGCCAGATTTAAGCCCTTGGCCCAAGGGCCTTGAGATTGACGCCTCTGGCTTAGAGCTCGAAGCATTCTTAGAGATCCCACATGCCCACTTTATGCTCTGTTTCCGCTGCTCCCCCCTGGAAGGAAGTTTCAAAGTATTTCTAGCAGGATTACCCCATTCTGGAGCAGCTTTGTTCCCTGTGCCATCCATCTGGTAAACTTGCAAGATTCGTTTTTCTCACCATGTACATGCATAAATCCGAACTATACTGTGTTGTTTCTGTGGGTCATATAATGTATGTGGGTATATGCATAATTTTGATCATCTTAGGTGCTCTAGTTTCTAGGCTGAACCTAGATATTGCAATACGGGAAGTACCAAGAACAGTACCCCATAAATAAGTCTTAACATGCACTCCTCAGCATCCACGCACCCCGTCCTTCCACTGCCACCACTCACCTGGCTTCTCCCAGGAGAAATCCTGGGGGTTCAGAAGACCATCATGCTCCACGTGACATTTGTAGTGCTCCCTCTCCTTGGGGTCGATCTCAATGCTGAGCCAGGTGTGGTAGGTCCTGTCTGAATTGGGAGTGATCCCACCCCGGAGCGTCTCCTGCTCCAAGATTTCCCCACCTTTCCTCCAAGTGACATCAACCTCTTTGGGGTAGAAGCCATGCAGACGACAGATGAGGATCTCCAGTCCTTCGTAGCTCCCTTTCCGGGTGACTGTCACCACGGGAGGTTCTGCAAAAATTGAAACATTCTTAATCGTCGGCCGAATGACGGCTTGAGACTCAAGAGACAGAATCTGGAGATGCAACAGGACTCTAGATCCCATCTAGCCCAAGCAGCATAGTCAACAGTGAAGGATGATGAGCAATGCAGGCCAATACCTTTGCCTGCTATTGTTGAATATCAGAAGCAGGATTGGACCATTCCTGGTCCTCTGTTTTGATATGCCCTGGGCAGGAAGCCCAAATTCTTAAGTTCTAGAATTTAAAACCATACCATCATGGTGCTTAAGCCTTACTTTCTCCCACGAGTTGTTCCAAAAGTAAATACCGTATTTTTTTGACTATAAGACGCACCTAAATTTACAGGAGGAAAACAAGAAAAAAATAGTTTTTGGCCTCCGCGTATCAGATTTTTGCCCTCCCCGACACCCAGAAGCACTCTGTATCCCCCCGCACAGCCCACTTTTGCCAAAAACACACCCATTTTTGGCAAAAACGCACCTGTTTTGGGGCTCCCAAGCCCTCGGTGTGTCGCATTTTTGCCCTCCCTGGCCCCCAGAAGCACTCTTCAGTGCTCCACAGGGCCTGTTTTTGCCAACAATGCACCCGTTTTCACCAAAAATTCACCTGTTTTTGGCCATTAGAGTGCTTCTGGGGACTGGGGAGGGTGAAAACGCGACATGCGGAGGGCTTGGGAACCCAAAAACAGGCCCGTTTTTGGCCAAAATGGGCCGTGCAGAGCATTGCAGACTGCTTCTGGGGCCGCGGAGGGTGAAAACGCAATGCACGGAGGACAAAAACGCTCGTATTCGGTCTATAAGACGCACCTAAATTTTCACCCACTTTTAGGGGGGAAAAGGTGCGTCTTCTATTCTGAAAAATGCAGTAATCCCCTTCTAGACCTGTGCATTGGATTCCATTTTCTCAGTCTTCTCGTCCTCCCTGTAAGGAAGGTCGGTGTCTCCCCTGCCCATCATACTGTGGCAAACAGGATTATTTCTGAGCAAAAGGAATTTACAGAAAAGAACTTTCTGCAAAGGATTGGGCTCTACATTCACACCATCATCTGCCCAAATTCTGGACCAGTCCAGGAATCCATGAAAGGTGATTGAGAAGAATTGCTTTTCAGCGAACTGATAGAAACCTTGAAGTGTAAGAAGACACAGAGGTCATCCAGTCCTCCCCACCGTCTAGCAAAAGCTACTGTCATAATAGAATAGAATAGAATAGAATAGAATAGAATAGAATAGAATAGAATAGAATAGAATAGAATAGAATAGAATAGAATAGAATAGAATAGAATAGAATAGCAGAATTGGAAGGGACCTTGGAGGACTTCTAGTCCAATCCCTGTTCAGGCAAGAAACCTTATACCATTGCAGACAAATGATTGTCCAATCTCTTCTTAAAATCTCCCAATGTTGGAGCCTTCACAACTTCTGGAGGCAAGTAGTTCCACTGATTAATTGTTAGAAAATTTTGCCTTAGTTCTAGGTTGCTTCTCTCCTCGATTAGTTTCTACCCATTGCTTTTTGTCCTGCCTTCAAGTGCTTTGGAGAATAGGTTGGCTTTCTTCTTTGTGGCAGCCGCTGAGATATTGGAAGACTGCCATCGTGTCACCCCTAGTCTTTCTTTTCATCAAACTAGGAAGACCCAATTCCAGCAACCGTTCTCTCTATGTTTTAGTCTCCAATCCCTTAACCATCTTTGTTGCTCTTCTCTGCACTCTTTCTAGAGTCTCAAGAGCTTTTTTACATCATGGTGACCAAAAATGGATGCAGAATATCCAAGTGTGGCCTGTTGTGGCTCCGTCCTCCGAGCCTATCTTATCAGAGGAAGAAGGCTCCGAACATGAAGGAGACGGCCAGGCCTCCCTCTCCAGGACCCTCCTCTCTGACAATGCCTCAGGTGTCTCCCGAAGGAGAAGAGATTGGCCAGGAGCCAGATGTTTCCGAGCCGTCGGATAGTGACGAAGAAACATTGTGGTTGGACCCACGCCAGTGTCGGAGAGACAAGCATGCACAGCAGAAAAGGAGGAGTGCCAGAGATTAAGCTGAGTCACTGGACCACACCCCACAGGCTATAAAAGGGAGTGTGGTGGCCATTCAGACTCTGTGACGGACAAAGCTAACCTCTGGCGAGTCACTTTGCACTTTTGGACACAACGCCTATTTGCTGTGGATTTAATTACAAACTGGACTATTCAAACTGTGTGTATTTTTGTCTGTGTTATCGGAGTAAAAGTTCTTGGCAGGCAGCCATGGAGTTGCTGCCAAGTTCCTTATCACTGACGTTGAGTGTTTGAAGAGTTTATTTAACCCTTGGCTGGCTAGTTGGGTGTGTGCGTGGTACGGGGACAGAACACGGCCTTAGCAAGGCATTACAAAGTGATATTAATACTTCAGATGATCTGTTATATAAGATAAACCAGGGGTCGGCAACCCAGAGCTCTGGAGCCACAAGTGGCTCTTTGGGCCCTTGGCCACGGCTCCCTGTTCCATCACTGGTTCGCCCTGCCCCTCTTATTTCTTTTTTGGACTCCAGCCTGAAGAGGCAGGAAGTGAAGGCTGTCTTACGCGCAAATGTGGTGTGAAGGCAGGTACAGGGCAGCTTCGCTCCTGTACTCTCCTCCCCCCTCCTCCTCTCGTAACCCCCTGGCCGGCTGTGGCTGAGCTGGGAGTGTGCGCACGCATGGAGAGACCCTCCTTAAGCGAGCCACTGCCTGCCCCGAGCGCATCTTTCCTGAGCTTTGGCGCTCGTTTGAGAAGGGTCTCCCTGCACATGCGCAGCTGCTGGCTCAGCCACAGCTGTCCCTGGCGTCCTGAGAGGAGGAGAGGGACGAGGGTCGCCGGAGAGTGCAGGAGCGAAGCTGCCCTGTACCTGCCTTCGCGCCACATTTGCACATAAAGCAGCTTTTGCTTCCTGCCACTTCAGGCTGGAGTCTCCCTGTGCATGTGAATGCTCCCGGCTCAGCCACAGCTGGCCAGGGAGTTACAAAAGGTGGAGGGGGGAGGAGGATGGTCACCTGAAGGGAGGGGGGAGAGAGAGAGAGAGACATATACACAGAGAGAGAGAGAGACATAGAGAGACACAGAGCGATACTCAGAGAGGGGGTGAGAGAGGGGAAGAGAGGTAGAGGGAGAGATACAGAGGGAGAGAGATACAGAGGGGGGAGAGAGGAGGAGAGAGGGAGAGAGGGAGAGAGATATAGAGAATAGTTTTGTGGCTGGTAGGTGTGGATAGGTGGTCATGTGACTGGGTGGGAGTGAGTGACATTGAGTTGGCCACGTCCACCCAAGTTTTGTGGCTCCTGGTGCTTTTTTTTTCTGTAGGAAACGGGTCCAAGGGGCTCTTTGGGTGTTTAAGGTTGCCGACCCCTGAGATAAACCAACAAACCCACAACCCATCACCTTTTCTGAGAAGGGACTCCTTGCCGTAATTCAGGTATTTGTGCAGCCACTCAATGCAGTCTCCTTCCAGGAAATTCTTCCGGCCTTGGGTCCAGACCTGATCGGCCTCCCACCTCCGCTTGGTGACCTGGGCCCGCCAGTCGGCTGCTGTCCACGTGAGGGTCTGTTTATCCAGGCTGAGGAAATCTGTCCCATCATAGCCAAACTGAGAACTGCCTTCTTTACGTCCGTCTTGTCGTAACTCACAACCATGCATCCATTGCCAGGTGTGAAACCCTGCAAAACAAACCTTGGTGACGCTTTCATAGGTCGCTCAGTATCAGAGGTATAATGAAAGGCTCGGAATACACTATAGAGATGATCTACAGGTAATCTTCAGCTTACAACCACAATGGAGCCAGAAATCCAGCAGGTTCTGACAGGTTCTGGAGAACCGGTAGTGGAAATTTTAAGTAGTTCGGAGAACCGGCAAATGCCACCTCTGGCTGGCCCAAGAGTGGGGTGGGAATGGAGATTTTGCAATATCCTTCCCTCAGGAGTGGGGATTTTGCAGTATGCTTTGCCTGCCATGCCCACCAAGCCACCAAGCCCACAGAACCGATAGTAAAAAATTTGGATTTCACCACTGAATGAAGTCCAATATTTTTGTTGCAAGGCAAAATAGTGGTTAAGTGAATTTTGCTTGGTTCATTTTACGATCTTTCTTGCTCTGGTTGTTAAGTGAATCACTGCAATTGCTAAATTTGTAACACAGTTGTAAAGTGAATCTGGCTTCCCCATTGACTAATTGTCAGAAGGTCACAAAAGGAGATCACATGACCCCAGGACACTGCAACTGTCCTAAATATGAGTCAGTTGCCAAGTGTCTGAATTTTGATCGTCTGACTGTTGGGAAAGGGATATCGTCGTAAATGTGAAAACCTGCCATGTCACTTTTTTCAGTGACCTCGTAACTTTGAACCGTCATTAAATGAACTGTTGTAAATCTAGGACTACCTGTATTCAAACCCCAACTAATTCAGCCCTTCATAGTAGGCTGGTCAATGAAAAGGTCACTGCAAGGATTGCAGGAATCATTCTAGTAGAATAATCTAGAATAAGCTAATTATTTTATTAATTATTCTAATAGAGTCCTGTCCAAGTCTCTCTTTGTTCCACCTTATACTAAACAAAATCAAGATGTGGTTATTTGAGTTTCTTTCTCACAAGTGTTTCACTCTCCGGACCGCAAAATCTCTTGCCTAAGCTTCTTCTCAATCCTTCCTGCTCCAAAATCAGCTCTAAAACCAGTCCAATCCAAGAATCCATTGTGTAGAATCCTTGAATGGAAAAGCTGGAAGGGATCTTAAAGATCATTCAGGCTAATACCCTGCTTGGCGGGCATGCAGCAAGGCAGCCATCTTCCTGGCAACTTACCTGGGGTGTGGTTGAAGCGGTTCCAGAGGCTCAGTTGGAAGTAGAGTTCCCAGCTGTGAGAAAGCTGAGTTTGCCAGTCCCAATACTGGGCATCGTCTTCCTCCACCTTCTGAATCCAGGACCCCCGTGGCAAGTCCCTCCGGGAATCGCTATCGTACTGGACAAACTGCTGATCATCCAAGTAGCCCACAATGATAAAGCGGGGCAGGCCGTGGCCCAGTTCTGACACGCCGGTGAAGAAATAGCGCAGGACGTGGGAAGTGGCGGCTACCGGAAGAAAAGAAGCAGGCATTCGGTGAGCATCATTTGCCGTTGAACGGAACTAAAAACCTCAAAGGACTACTGTCAAACTGCAAAGCCTTGGTGAAAGGTTGAGGGAACTAGGTATGACTAACCTATGAGAAGAGAAGGAGGACATGCTAGTACTTGAGGATCTAGTACTAGTACTGACTGATTCTCCAAAGCACTCAGAAGCAATGGATGGAAGCTTGTAAAAGAGAGACCTACCATATTTTTCAGAGTATAAGACGCACATTCCTCCCCCTAAAAGAGGGTGAAAATTTGGGTGCGTCTTATACACCGAATGTAGCCCCACCCAGCCTCTGAAATGGAGGTTTCAGAGGCTGAAAAAAGCCTCTGAAACCTCAATTTGAGAAGCTGAAAAAAAGCCTCCTAAACAGGGGTTTCGGAGGCTGAAAAAAAGGCAAGGCGTAGAGCTCACAACCAATGAACCTGTTGCTAAAGTTCACCTCTGGGAACAGCTGATTGGGGGTATTCCGGGAGGCAGATCCACCCCCAATCAGCTTTTTTTCTTATTTTCCTCCCCAAAAACTAAGGTGCATCTTATACTCCGGTATGTCTTATGGTCCGAAAAATACGGTAATTTAGGAGTAAGGAGAAATTTCCCGACAACGAGAACAATTAATCGATGGAATAGCTTGCCTCCCGGAGTTGTGGGTGCTCCATCACTAGAGTTTAGGGGTTCCTTCCTGCTTGAGCAGGGGGTTGGACTAGAAGACCTCCAAGGACCTTCCTTCCAGCTCTATTCTGATTGATTGGAGGATTTCAAATATAGGCTAGACAATCATTTCACTGGGGATGACATAAAGTCTCCTGCCTTAAAAAAGATGTTGAGACTCTAGAACAATGATGGTTAATCTTTTTGCTGTCGCATGCCAAAAGTGGGAGGAACATGGGGGGGTGTCAATCACGCATGTGCCCACACCCATAATTCAATGCCCCCCGCCCCCCGCGCATGCATGCACAACCCCCATGCTCCCCCTGCTTTTAGCACGCGATGGCATGGTGGGCCCGGTAGGCCCATTTTTCACCCTCCCCAGGCTCGAGAGGCTTTCTAGGAGCCTGGGAAGGGTGAAAACAGCCTCCCCCCCCATCCAGAGGCCCTCCAGAGGCCAGAAAGAGCACTTTTCCCAACTTCCAGGAAGGCCCAAAAATCAGCTGGTGCTGGAGCTGAGCTAGAGCAACACTTGTGTGCCCACAGATATGGCTCCACGTGCCACCTGTGGCATGCATGCCATAGGTTCGCCATCACAGCTCTAGAAAGACTATCCAAAAATATGTTGGGGGAAAAAACCACCTGGAAATTAAAAAAAAAATCAAGATGGCAGCCCTCGTCACTTCCCGCCTGGACTACTGTAATGCTCTCTACATTGGGCTCCCCTGGAAGAGCACCCGGAGGCTCCAGCTGGTCCAGAACGCAGCTGCGCGGGTGATTATGGGAACGTCATAGTGCTCCCATGTAACACCTCTCCTGCGTGAGCTGCACTGGCTCCTGGTGGTCCTCTGGGCGCGATTCAAGGTGTTGGTGACCACCTTTAGAGCGCTCCATGGCTTAGGACCTGGATATTTATGAGACTGCCTTCTGCCACCGAGAGCCTCCCACCGGCCAGTACGCTCCCACAGAGAGGGGCTCCTCTGGGTGCCATCGGCCAAACAATGCCGACTGGCGGCCCCCAGGGGGAGAGCCTTCTCTGTGGGAGCTCCTGCCCTCTGGAACGAGCTCCCCCCAGAGATACGGAGGATCCCGGATTTACGTACTTTCCGTCGGGCCCTCAAAACTTTTTTATTTCATCAAGCTGGGCTGGCCTAACTCTAATTGTGTAATTTTAATTTTAATTTTAAATGGGGGATTTTAACTGTCGGGCGTATATAAATTTAAATATTAAATTAAATTAAATTAAAGTGACATAGTTAAAGCCCTGCCCCTTTTTAAGCATCTCACTCCACATCAGCAAATAAACCACCAGCAGAATTTCACCAAATCCAAATGCTTGCTTGCTATTTCAAAATGTTCCCTTGTATCCGAGTAAAAGTGGGACCTTAAAAAAACCTTAGTAAGACCACACCTCATCCAGTTTTGGTCACCACACTATAATAAAGATGTTGAGACTCTAGAAAGAGTGCAAGGAAGAGCAACCAAGATGATTAGGGAACCGGAGGCTAAAACATATGAAGAACGGTTACAGGAACTGGGCATGGCTAGTCTAGTGAAGAGAAGGACCAGGGGAGACACGATAACAGTGTTCCAATATTTGAGGGGCTGGCACAGAGAGGAGGGGGTCAAGCTATTTTCCAAAGCACCCGAAGGCCAGACAAGAAATAATGGATGGAAACTGATCAAGGAGAGATTCAACCTAGAAATGAGGAGAAATTTTCTGACAGTGAGAGCAATCAACCCATGGGACAGAAGCTGCCTTCAGTTGTGGGAGTTTCATCACTTGGAGGCATTTGTACCCTATCATTAAGTCATTAAGGCTATTGCTTAACACATTGTAAGCCGCCCTGAGTCTCCAGAGAAGGGCGGCATATAAATCAAATTTTAAAAAAAGTGTTGTATCTTATGATTTTTGATGAATGTATCTTTTCTTTTATGTACTCCAAGAGCGTATGCACCAAGACAAATTCCTTGTGTGTCCAATCACACTTGGCCAATAAAGAATTGAATTCTATCTATTCAAGAAGGGACTTGACTGACATCTGTCAGAAATGGTGTCGGCAGGGTCTCCTGCTTGGGCTGGGGATTGGACTAGATCAGGGGTCTCCAACTTTGGCAACTTGAAGACTTGTGGACTTCAACTCCCAGAGTTCCTCAGCCACAAGTCTTCAAGTTGCCAAGGTTGGAGACCCCTGGACTAGATGACTTACAAGGTCCCTTCCAACTCTGTGAATCTGTTCGAGACCGCCTTCTGCCACTGATAGCCTCCCATCGACCGGTACGCTCCCACAGAGAGGGGCTCCTCCGGGTGCCGTCAGCTAGGCAATGTCGGCTGACGACCCCCGGGGGAGAACATTCTCTGTGAGGGTCCCTACCCTCTGGAATGAGCTGCCCCCGGAGATTTGCAGGATTCCCGACCTGCGTACCTTTCGTCGCGCCCTAAAAACATTATTATTCCAACAAGCATTATTTGGCCTAAATAATAATAATAATATTTTACTATTTTAATGGATTGTTTTATTAGAGTTTTCGGCCAATTTATTTAATTGTTTTCAATTGCTTTTAATTTTTATACTGTCATGGTTTTATTGCTGGCTGTACACCGCCCCGAGTCCTTCAGGAGAAGGGCGGTATAGAAATTTAATAAAATAAAATAAATAACATAAAATAAAAACCTCTGGAGGTCTCTTCCAGCTCTAGGATTCTATCTTCTGTGATCTAACAGAGAATACATGAGGGACCCATCCAATCACGTGAGAGGGAGGAAAGCCCCGCCCGCAGGGCTTGGGAAATTCCAGCTGCAACGCAAAGCGAAAGCTGCACAGTAGCGAGAGGGGAGAGAAATACTAAATACTATTGTTAGGCAGGGACCTCCCCACCCAGTACAAAGAAGCTCCTGGAGAAGCTCCCCTCCGCCCCGCGTCCTTGCTGGGATCTCATGCCCCTTCCCGCTTTAGACAGCTTCCTCCGGCTTCTCCCTGTAGGTTGAGTTCCAATCAATGACCGTCCGGTATTCCCAGGGTCGGGATAGCAGGAGAGGCTCTTTGATCCAGATCCGCAGCTGCTCTGCCAACGGACTTAGAAAGTGGGGGGGGGGAGTTCTCAAGTAATGGGGGTCTCTCGCCCCGCCACTCACTTGCGGTGCCCGCACCCAGCAGCAGGACGGCTGCCCCCAGCAACACGAAGAGGGATCGGGAGATCATGCGGAACCCCAAAGCCAGCCACGCCTTGCAGTGCCCCGGGCGAGCCCTACTATCAGCCGAGGCGGAAGAGCGAGCAGCTGCCAGGAACTGTCACCAGCAGCTCTTGAGGCACCTCCTGCCCCTGCGGGGAAGATGCTGGGCGGGTCTCGGAGGAGTCTCCGCCCCGGGGGTGGGAGGGCGAGAGAAAGTTCCCCGTCTTCAGATAGAGAACCCCCTCTTCAAATAGTCGCTCACAATCTGGAGTCCATCCCAGTTTCCTGCAGTAGATCCCTTATTTATATTTATATATTTATATTTTATATATTTATTAAATTTTTATACCGCCCCCCTCTCCCGAAGGACTCGGGGCGGTGAACAGCCAAGATTAAAAAAAAAAAAACATACAATATAAACATTAAAATACGTTTAAAACAAAATTAAATCCAAAATGGCTCCCCAATTTAAAACGCCTTACCCATAACCCTATAATTAAAACAAATTTAAAATTTCCACATTAAAAGGGGGAAGATTTAGGCCAGGCCAGCTTGATGAAATAGTTTAGTTTAGTTTTTAGTTTTATTAAATTTGTATACCGCCCTACTCCCGAAGGACTCAGGGTGGTGAACAGGCACAAGATAAAATACAGAAATACAAAAGTTAAAAACAATAACAACAAATAGAAGAGTCTTAAGCGTGCGGCGGAAGGTGCGCAGATCCGGGATCCTCCGTATCTCCGGAGGGAGCTCATTCCAGATCATAGGTGCCCCCACAGAGAAGGCTCTCCCCCTAAGGGCCGCCAGTCGACATTGTTTGGCCGACGGCACCTGGAGGAGCCCCTCTCTATGGGAGCGTACTGGCCGGTGGGAGGCTATTGGTGGTAACAGGTGGTCCCGTAAGTATTTGAAATTTGAATCCGTGGGCCACAGCATTCCAGATCCCTCTTTTCAGCTTCTCCAGGGCTTGGTGTGATTGGCACCTGGGCATGGTTGCTTTTGTTGTCACTTCATTAGGCAAGAATGTGGCTCGGGTAGGTTGCATGGGCTGAATTTCCCCCTTTGCCACCCCCTTAGGATTATAGTTGCAAAGTTGAAGGCCAGGTATTTTTTTTTTTAACCAAGGTTTTTATTCTCGAAAAAAAGATTTATTTATTATTTACTTATTTTATTACATGTATTTATATGCCGCCATTCTCCCGAAGGACTCAGGGCGTTGAACACAAGTTAAGAAACAAGTACAATAAAATCATAATTTAATCCAAATAATTAATTAGTAGTAAATAATAAAGCCCGGAATCAGTCTCAGCCTATTTGTTTGAAAAGCCAAGTCTTCAAGTCCTGATGGAAGGAGCGGAGATCAGTAGCCGTCCGGAGCTCAGTAGGTAATTCATTCCAGAGGGTGGGAGCACCCACAGAGAACGCCCTACCCCTGGGCACAGCAAGGTGACATTGGCTAGCCATCAGAACCTTGAGGAGAGCGGCCCTATGTGAGCGAACAGGATGGTGAGAGGCAGGCAGGAGAAGGTCATGCAAATATCCCGGACCTAAGTCATGAAGGGCCTTATAGGTGAGGACTAGCACCTTGAAGTGGACCCGGAGAACCACTGGTAACCAGTGCAGCTCACGCAGGAGGGGTGTTATATGGGAGTAACGAGGGGCTCCCGTAACAACCTGTGCAGCTGCATTCTGGATCAGCTGGAGTCTCCTTTAAAAGATGCTCTCCTTTAATCCCTTTTGCTGCGGTGCTTACCCTGTTCTGTGGCACAAATAGAGGAGGGTGGGTGGAAATGGCTGATGGTAGTACATGTGAGGCAGGCAGTGGTGAAATCTAAAATTTGTTACTACCGGTTCTGTGGGCATGGCTTGGGGAGGAGGTAATGTGACTGGGTGGGCATGGCCAATTTTTTTTTTTTACTTTTAAAACCATTTTTTCTACAACCTCTTCGGGGGAAGAGGTTGTAAAAAAATGCTTTCAAAAGGCTCTGACGATCCCAGCTGAGTTGCCTGATCAGCAGAGGCTTTTTTTCTTTTAAATGCCTCTGACAATCCAAGCTGAGTTGCCTGATCAGCAGAGGCTTTTTTTTTCTTTTAAATGCCTCTGATGATCCAAGCTGAGTTGCCTGATCAGCAGGGGCTTTTTTTCTTTTAAATGCCTCTGACGATCCAAGCTGAGTTGCCTGATTGGCAGAGGCTTTTTAAAAAGCCCATTCTTGGCTGGCAGTGTGCTACTGAAAGCTGGGGAGCCTGAAAACCAGCCACGCGGGGACCTCCTGGGGACTCCGCATGGCCCGTTCTTGGCCGGCAGTGTGCTGCTGGAGGCTGGGGAGGCTGAAAACCAGCCACGCGGGGACCTCCTGGGGCCTCCGCATGGCCCGTTCTTGGCCGGCAGTGTGCTGCTGGAGGCTGGGGAGGCTGAAAACCAGCCACGCGGGGACCTCCTGGGGCCTCCGCATGGCCCGTTCTTGGCCGGCAGTGTGCTGCTGGAGGCTGGGGAGGCTGAAAACCAGCCACGCGGGGACCTCCTGGGGCCTCCGCATGGCCCGTTCTTGGCCGGCAGTGTGCTGCTGGAGGCTGGGGAGGCTGAAAACCAGCCACGCGGGGACCTCCTGGGGCCTCCGCATGGCCCGTTCTTGGCCGGCAGTGTGCTGCTGGAGGCTGGGGAGGCTGAAAATCAGCCACGCGGGGACCTCCTGGGGCCTCCGCATGGCCCGTTCTTGGCCGGCAGTGTGCTGCTGGAGGCTGGGGAGGCTGAAAACCAGCCACGCGGGGACCTCCTGGGGCCTCCGCATGGCCCGTTCTTGGCCGGCAGTGTGCTGCTGGAGGCTGGGGAGGCTGAAAACCAGCCACGCGGGGACCTCCTGGGGCCTCCGCATGGCCCGTTCTTGGCCGGCAGTGTGCTGCTGGAGGCTGGGGAGGCTGAAAACCAGCCACGCGGGGACCTCCTGGGGCCTCCGCATGGCCCGTTCTTGGCCGGCAGTGTGCTGCTGGAGGCTGGGGAGGCTGAAAACCAGCCACGCGGGGACCTCCTGGGGCCTCCAAATGGCCCGTTCTTGGCTGGCAGTGTGCTGTTGGAGGCTGGGGAGGCTGAAAACCAGCCATGCGGGGACCTCCTGGGGCCTCCAAATGGCCCGTTCTTGGCCGGCAGTGTGCTGCTGGAGGCTGGGGAGGCTGAAAACCAGCCATGCGGGGACCTCCTGGGGCCTCCAAATGGCCCATTCTTGGCCAGCAGTGTGCTGCTGGAGGCTGGGGAGGCCGAAAATGGGCCATGCACCACCACCCCTGGCAGCTCATTTTAGCCGGCAGAGGCACCATGCGCTGGTCCTTTGATATTTGCAGGTTGGCCCTGCGGGCCAGATTTAAGCACCCTGCAGGCCAGATCTGACCCACGGGCCTTGAGTTTGACATCCCTGATCTAATGCTATTCTTGTACCCGGATCTAATATCCTCTTCCTTGGTTACACTTTAATAATGAAAGAAATACTTGATTTTTACTGACAATGGTGAGGAAATTAGCGAGGAAAAATGCAAACTCAAAACTGTAGGTTGCAAAAACCGACCCTCCCAAAACACAGGTACTCCTCGACCGACAACCATTTATTTAGTGACCGTTTGAAGTTACAATGGCACTGAAAAAAAGGACTCATGACCATTTTTCACACTTAACGACCGTTGCAGCATCCCCATGGTCACATGATCACAATTCAGACGCTTGGCCACCGATTCATATTTATGACAGTTGCAATGTCCTGGGGTCATATGATCCCCTTTTGTGAACTTCTGACCAACAAAGTCATTGGGGAAGCCAGATTCATTTAACAACTGAGTGGCTAACTCAACTATTGCAGCAATTCACTTAACAACTGGGGCAAGAAAGGTAACATGGGGCAAAATTCATTTCACAACTGTCTCGCTTAGCAACGGAAATGTTGGACTCAATTGTGGTCGTAAATCAAGGACCGCCTGCCCCTGATTTTTGCTGACTGTCAGCCTCCACTTTTTCATTGCTTAACTGCTCGGCTGCTATGAAACGGGGAGAGGGGGGAGCTATTGGAATTCTTGGGAGGGGGGGAAGAGTGCTGGAGGAGAAGAAGGGAAGAAACTTTGCTTCAGCGTCATTTTTGAAGTTGATAACGACTCAAGGTCAACGGTCGTGATATAGCAGGAGGATGGCACCATCAGACGTGGCACCTACATGACCCCTGGGGGGGGATTGTGGATTGGATGATGGACGCTGGACAGTTGGGGGGGGATGCTTTCTGTATGTAATTTTCGCGCCTTTGCTTCAGACCTTGCTTTTCTTTGACTCCATTCAGTCCATACTCAGTAAAAGATACCTTTCTCTATGAAAATGGAGTCCGGGTTTTTCTTTCTTGGGTAATGGAAGGAGGCTGTCCTGACACTAACACTGGTAAGGAAATTAGTAGGAAATATACTCAAAACTGGAAAAACTGGTTGCAAACCGGTTGCAAAACCTGATACATGGGGGAAAACTCAGAACAATGAAGAGAAAGCATGCTAAAAGGGAATTTTTTTTAAAAAAACTGACAGAACACCACAACAGTTGAACAGGAAATGCTACCAGTGTAGCCTAGATTGCAAAGACAACAGCTGTAGCGGTTTTTGGTTTCTGTTTTTTAAAAACCTAGCTTTATTTTTTTCTCTGTCGGCATTACTTATGCCTGACTTTTCATTGTCCACAACTCAGGTGTGTCGCCCAAACTCCTGCTTCAGTCTTTGTAAGGCTCAACCCACAATCACTAATTTTTGCAAAAAAATAAAAATAAAGAAATGCTGGTGATAATATGATGCCTACAACACCTCTATTTATGGAATAAATGTGCCTGTTTTCAGAATTCCTCTGTCGGGGAAAAGTGCTTTCCAGATTTAACAGCTTAATAGAGTTGGAAGGGACCTTATAAGTCCGTGATGGCGAACCTATGGCACGCGTGCCACCTGTGGCACGTGGAGACATATCTGTGGGCAGACGTGCATTGTCCTAGCTCAGTTCCAGCATGCATGCGTGTGCCAGGCAGCTGATTTTTGGGCCATCCGGGCCCACCAGAAATCGGGAAACGGGCCATTTCTGGCCTCCGGAGGTCCTCCGGGGGGTTGGGGAAGGCCGTTTTTGCCCTCCCCGGGCTCCTAGAAAGCCGCTGGAGCCTAGGGAGGGTGAAAAACAGGCCTACCTGGCCCACCATGCCATCGCACACTAAAAGCAGGGGGAGCACAGGGGTCGTGCGTGCATGCGCGGGGGGCGGGGCACATTGAATTATGGGTGTGGGCGCACGTGCGTGTGACACACACCCCGTGCTCCCCGCGCTTTTGGCACGCGACAGCAAAAAGGTTAGCCATCACTGTTATAGGTCATCTAGTCCAACCCCCCGCTTTCCTTATTTTTAAAAAGCTGTGAATGACTGCAAAGAAGGAAGTCTCCTTTCCTTTCTTCCTTGCCCTTCCCTTTTTCCTTTTTCCTTCCTTCCTTTCCCTCCCCTTTCTTCCTTCCCCTTCTTTTCCCTTCCTTCCTTTTCCCTTCCCTCCCTCCTCCTTTCCTTCCCCTTCCCCTCCTTCCTTCCTTTCTCTTCCGTTCCTTCCTTCCCCTTCCCCTTCCCTTTCTTCCTTCCCCTTCCCTTCCCTTTCTTCCTTTTCCCTTCCCTCCCTCCTTCTTTCCTTCCCCTTACCTTCCTTCCTCTTCCATTCCATCCTTCCCCTTCCCTTTCTTCCTTCCCCTTCCCCTTCCTTCCTTCCTTCCCCTTCCCTTCCTTTTCTTCCTTCCTTCCCCTTCCCTTTCCTCCCCCCTTCTTTCCTTCCCTTCCTTCCCTTCCTTCCTTCCTTCCTTCCTTCCTTCCTTCCTTCCCCTTCCCTTCCCTTCCCTTCCCTTCCCTTCCCTTCCCTTCCCTTCCCTTCTCTTCTTAATTGTAATTAATCCCCACCTGAATCAGATCCTTATCCCTTTGAGGAGGGAAAGGAGAGGAATCCGTACAAAGAAACCATCCAGATTCCTTCCCTTACCTGAGCTGGTAGGCCAGGAGTGGCTTCTTCGCCTCCTGAAAGAGGCCCTTGATCTGGAGGCATTCCAACCCCTATGAAGGAGCAAAAGGAGATGAAAACCTTATACCATGGACGAATCATTGAAACAGACAGGGAGATGTTCTCTTCCCTCATTGACGTTGAGTTGAAGGAGACTCAGAATTCAGCAAAGGAAGCTCTTCTTCCCACAATTCATCCTTAACACGCAGAATTCAAAGCCACAAAGTCTGGAAGGGGACTTTTAAAAGGAGAGTGGATAATTTTCATGGAGGACAATTGTTTCAGAGGCCGTGGAGCAAGGTAACCTCTGGGTTGTGTCTGCAGAGGGAATCAGATGTCAACCTCCTTTTTTTAGGAGTACCTAAAGGCATCAGAGTGCACACAGGTTTACTATGTGAGACAACTCAGGAGTAACAACAACAAACAGATGTTTGTAATAAATAGTGGTTTTATCTACAAAAGAATATATACAATACATACACATACTACAGGTAGAGGTCAAACAAGCAGCAATTACACAGGGAAGAACACACAGTGAGAGAGAGGCGCCCTAACAGGCTCTTAAAGGGATAATAGCCAAAAAAGCTTGCTGACTCATTCCCATCATTACATCATTGCATCAGCTGGTCAGCTCTTAAATCACTACCCTGACATGGCTGGACACAACAAGAAACAAAATGTTGGACTAGGATGGATCTGGGTCTAAACAAGTAGGGCTGTTTGACTCAGCCAGGAGTTTTAGGCACTGGAAACAGCAGCAAAGCTGGGATTTCTCTGGGGATCATCAACACGTTCTCAGAAACTCAATCCAAGGAAACCTCATACCTTGGATATTGTCCAACGTTGGCTCCTCCTGTCTGATACTCATTGAGAGCAGCGTCTGACAGGCATTGGGGAGATCCATTTCCAATTTGGGGAAATCAGCTCCGATCGCTATCAATGGATTCTGCAATTGGAATAGCCAGGATCCCACGCAGGGAGAGTAGTTAGAAGATTACGAGAGAAGGATGGGTTTTATTGTAGTTCTCCCAACTCTGTGAACATGGCACTTGGGGATGACCACCTCTCAAATAATTGACTGGAGAAGGGAAGAAACTTGCCAGCTGCCCAGTTCAGGAGTAAATAATCTAATATGGAACAGATTGCCTATTGTGGGTGCTTCATTGCTGGAGGTTTTCAAGAAAAATAACAACCTTTAAAAAAGGTTTAAAAAAAAATACCTGTTTCTTTCTAGAGAAATTCCCAGGAATGTTAATAGGACTACAAAGAACATGGTCTCTCTAAATGCTCTCAGAAGATGAAATATAGTCTCACCTGTTCTTCCTTCTTGATGACTTTGGTCTGGCTCAGGAGGAAACTTTCTGCCAGAACTACGGCGCGAGAAGTGGTCCCTGGTGTACGTTGTTGGACCAACTATCCATCTCCGGAGGCAAGATAGCCAGGAAATGCTCCACGACCATCAAGTTCAACATTTCGGCTTTTGTGTGTCTTTCTGGCTTTAGCCAATCTTGACAAAATTCATGAAGTTGGTCGCAAATCCTTCGGGGACCCTTGGCTTTCAGGTAACAGATGTTTCTAAAACGCCAACTGTGGCTTCTCTGAGCTGGTAACTTCCTCACATGGCTGGCTGGGGAATTCTGGGAGTTGAAGTCCACAAGTCTTAAAGTCACCAAGTTTGGAGATCCCTGCTCTAGATTCAGGCACCGCTGAAAGCCCTCTTTCCTCCCACCCTGGGGGCTCCTCCAGATAGGATGGATTTCAACTCCGAGAATGGATGGACTTCAACTCCCAGAATGCCGAGCCAGTTGGAATTCTGGGAGTTGAAGTCCAATCTATGGGGAGGGGCCCCTAGGGAGCAGTTAAGCTGCATTGCAGACAATTTGGTTGGCAAACTCTGGGGAGGAGAGAATGCCGAGTCCTTCCCTAACTAACTTTAAAGATACTTTCTGAGTTTACAGCATCCCAAGACTCAAAACATGGTTGTTATGGTCGCCAAGAGTTTAATTTGAGCAGCATAATAGAGTTTTTGACAGATGAAAGTGATGACTAAAGAGAGTAAATCATTGATCTTTTCCTTCTGGAACAGAATATGTCTACTATTCCTGATTCTATCGAGGCAGAAATATAGAAAGTGGCTAAGCCAACTGCACCACGGAGCAGGTGGAAAAGTCCCAAAATAACCCAACCAAGAACCAACTGATAGGGCAGCCCAAAGCTCCAGTCAAAGTTGCCCTGCCAGAAGTGCCCAAACTCCTCGTCAAAAGTTCTGCACCTGGATGCTTCAAGGATGGTGGGACATTTCAAAGGGGCTGCCCCAACTTTAAAAACCAAGTCATGTCAGTGGAATGAATCGTCGGCATAATAGAGGGTTGACTGAGTTTGGTGAGAGGGTGAGACCTCCTTAAGAGGATGGGGAAGGGGAAGGCCTTAGAGCGAGTTGGGCAGCAAACAAGTTTAACGAATTTCTGTAATAAGGCCAAGAGACTAGTTGTCCAGAGAGATGCTGGGGCCACCATTTCCACAGTTCATCATTCTTGGTCAAAAGGTATCAGTTGGCCCATCAGAAGCAGTGGAGATGCTGGGTCTTCAAGGAAAGGTAACAGTGGTGGGTTGCCCCCGGTTCGCACCGGTTCTATAGAACCGATAGTAAAACCGGCAGGAGGCCCCGCCCACTGCCCCTGACGTCATCAAAATACTTCTGTGCATGCGTAGAAGCTTCTGCGCAGGCGCAGAAGAGCGCACACAAGCATGAGCGAACCAGTAGTAAAGGTAAGTAGAACCCACCCCGGAAGGTAACCACAACCCTAGTCTAGCTACCCATTCAGTGGGGAGAAGGTGAGGGGAAAGTCATACATGATTGTCTAGGTACCATGTTGCTTGAGGAGGACCTAGCCGAGAAGAGATGGAAAAATCTACATCCAGGAGGAAAAGACCCTGAGACAGTGGAGAGGGAACAGAAGAAGGAGGTCCTCTCCTCCCCACTTCAAAATAAAGCCAGTAGGAAAAAATGAGGAGACTTCAGAGACAAGGATACAGACATCAGAACCGGTAAACACCAGGTTGCCTACCAAATGAAAATGTCACAATATGTATTTTATTATATCCCCTTATGTATCGTTTAAATGAAGATCAGATATTTGTGGTGAAATATGGTGAAATTGTCAAACATTTCAACAGGGTGTACGCTTTGATTTGCACACGAGTGTAAAATCCTACAATGGAAGGGTCAGAAGAAACATACATGCATCTAGTCCAACTGTTGTGACCAAGGCCCAAGTAATGATTACCAAACTCAATTCAGTCCTGAACAAACTTATTTTATTACAATAGCTGAGAATTAATTCTTAGGCACCCAGAGCCATGAAAGTGAGAAGGGCAGCTCCATATATTGAATTAAAGAAATGAAAACCGATAGAAATCTCCATTTTTCTGATTGTGGTTGTGTCCCATCTTCCTCCACTTAAGACCAAAGTTCTCAACAACCGCAAGACACAAGTTGTGTTTCCCAGAGAGCCTCCTGGTCCTTCTCTTCTGGCCACCTGGCTGTTTCTGACAGGATTTGGACCCTTTTGAGGCCTCCTCCAATCTCTGCTCAGCCTTCAGGGCGGCTGTTTCTGAGGGAAGCAAGTTCAAAAACTCGAGAGAGATTTTTCTCCATCTCCACAGACGATTCCTGGACAGGAAGGAGAGGAAGATGGAGAAAGTGCCCCCTCTGGAGACCTTGAAGCCTTTGTCTGCCAGGGAGCAATGGAGAGGGGCCTTTCTCCTACTCTCAAGCCCATCATCCCTGCCCTCTCCCTTCCCCTCAGACGCGCTCCTGTTTCCCGCCTTTTCTACAATCCTGGCCCTTTGCGTGCAATCCACTAGGGGGAGCCTTCTGCTAAGAGAAGGTAACGTCATGCGCTTCCCCATTGGTCCACTGGAAGGCGAACGTCACAGCTGCCTTTCCTGAGGAGGCTGGGAAGGAAATGACATCACAAACGCTTGCCGCTCTAGGACGCCACACTCGCTCTCCTTAACCCCTGGGGCTCCGCAAGAGGCGGAGAGGCTGCGGGAGAATCTGGCGGGGGAAGATCCAGACGCTCCCCGGGTGAGTTGGGGGCTCTTCCCGGGCAAAGGGAGGCGGAGGAGGGAGAGACCCACGCCCGGCCTTCCTCCGGCTTCCACCCCGGGTCCCATGCTCCCCTGCCGCCCTCTCCATGCAAAGAGCCCGAGTGTGGGGAGGGGAGGGTCAGCCTTGCAGAGGCTCAGATGGTTATTCAGTGGCTGAATTCCACTTTCTAATTCTTAATATTTATTTTTCCTTCCATCTCAGATACACAAAGTCGAAACCATTTGAAATCCTTGCAAACCAAAATTTTCTCTTGCTGGGAAAAAAAAAGAGAGGAATCCCTTGGAGGGCTCAGTTGTGGAGCACCAGAAATGGTCCCGTGAAGGAAAAGGCATCTGGAGACCCACCAGAGTCCTTGGAGCCATTTGCAGTTGCTCTGCAGGACAGAGAAAGGATGGAGACACAACCTTTTGGAAAGGAGGGAAGCGGAAAAGGCCCTTCAGCTGCTCAGCCTGGGAAGGGGGGAAAGCTCTGGAGAAGGACTGGGCAGGAGATCCTGGAGGAGGAAACCATCCTCCCTTCAGTTCAGCCCTGGAACTTCATCCAATACCAGGAGGCTGAGGGTCCCCGAGGATTTTGCAGCCAACTCCATGACTTTAGTAGGCGATGGCTGAGATCAGAAAATCACACCAAAGAGCAGATGCTGGACCTAGTTGTTCTGGAGCAGTTCCTGGCTCTTCTGCCCCCAGAGATGGAGAGCTGGGTGCGGGAATATGGAGCAGAGACCAGCTCCCAGGCGGTGGCCCTGGTGGAAGGCTTCCTCCTGAGCCAGGTGGAGGAGCAGAAGGAGCAGGAGGAGTTGCAGGTAAGAGTTCAAAAGAGAATAGAGAATCTGTTTGAATACTTCACCCCTCCTTCCCAAACCTCTCTGACATTCATAATATATGGCGATGTCCCACCTATTCTTCTAGGACATTGTTCCATTGTTTTCTCACTCAACCACACTGATGGATATTGGGGGCTTTGAGGTGGCATTCCGAATATAGGAATCCACTTTATGTCCCGTGATGTACATTAATTCTGCTTCTTTTTTCCTTCCTCCTATTTGAAGTGCTGCACTGTGGAGATCAGAGATCCTGAGGGAAAGAAGAACCCATCAAATCCCCTTCAGGAGCTATTTTTGAGGAGGATCCTTTGGGAAGATCCAAATCGAAACACCTCAGGAGGTAATTGAAGATCCTCTGATTACCCATCTGTCCTACCTTCACTCTCTTCTCTTCTATAGAATACTTCCTCCTATTTTGTTAATTATTATTTATTTATTTATTTATTATTTATTAGTTCGATTTATATGCCGCCCTTCTCCGGAGACTCAGGGCGGCTTACAATGTGTTAAGCAGTAGCCTTCATACTTTTGTATATACCTGCTTAGTAGGGCTTTCGGCCCCCCCTAAGCGGTGTTCTTTTTTATACAAAGTCAGCTTATTGCCGCCGCAATCCGAGTCCTCATTTTACCTACCTCGAAAGGATGGAAGGCTGAGTCAACTTTGAGCCTGGTGAGATTTGAACTTGCAGTAATTGCAGGCAGCTGGTGTTACTTAACAGTGCTTTAGTCTGCTGCGCCACCAAGGCTCATTTCAAAATTATTTATTTTGAAATTTTTTATTCCTTACAGAAAAACAAAGAATGAAATTTTCTGGGTTTTATGACGGAGATCAAACAGTGGTTGAACCTTCAAATCAAGTAAGAAAGGGAAAAGTTATTAGATTTGTATTCTTCCTTCAGGAAGTGAAGTGGGTGTGCAGAGTGCGCTCTCCTTCTATTTCCACCCCTTGTTTGGAGTGGGTTATTTTTGTGTTCTTCCACAATGTGGACATCACAATAGCAGGTTCAAGTTATTGTCAGCCAGCATAGCATCTGGTTAGCTTGTTCTGGTAGGTACTCCTCCAACTTTGAGTTTGCCAGAAGCAATTTTTTAAAATCCTTCCAAGAGTTAGGAATAAACATATCACAGTGGCAGGAATTGCTAAGAGTCAGGGTGGATAAAAATCAATGATTTTTTTTTTAAAATCAAAAAAATCAGATTTTTTTGATTTAAATCGGATTTTTTTGATTTAAATCGGATTTTTTTGATTTAAATCGAATTTATTTTAATAAAAAACTTTTGGGGTAAAAATCTATCGTAAGATAGTTTTCTATTTAAAATACATAAATAATTTAGTTTATTCAGCATGAAATGGAGCTTAGTTATGTAGCATGAGGCTGTATATTCTGCAACATAGGGACTATCGGTGAGTCAACAGTGGGTCAAAGGAGTAGCAGAGATGACAGTTGCTCTTTAAAAATTATGATTTAAATCGAGTTGATTTAAATCAAGCCTTTTTACTAGTGATTTAAATCATGATTTAAATTGTGATTTAAATCAACTCGATTTAAATCAAATCCACCCTGCTAAGAGTCCAAAGTTCCTCTCACAGTTACTGCTAATAAGCCTGGTTTCACCCAGTCCATATGTGTACTTTTGGTTTTTCTTGCCTAAGTGTAAAACTTTACTTTTCTCTACATTGAATTTCATTGCGTTAGATCGGGCCCAGTGTTCAAGTCTATCAAGATCCATCTGGATCTTGAGCCTATCATCTAGGGTTGTTCTTTGACTTGGAATTGTGCAAGGCTAATGAAAAATAACTAAATGCTCACATTGCCACATTACCATTTTGAAAAAGTCTCGTTTATAACCTGTAGTTAAAAAATAAGCAAATCATATTAAAAAATAAAGCAGACTACTAAATCCAAAGAGAATGGCGATGTAGAGCATGTAATCAAGGTTATACTTTATATGTTTTCGCCTCCAATCCACTACTTTGTTTCTAATTTGCCTTTTAGGTAAAAACCCATTTTGGTCAGAATGTATAAACTCATTCAGAAATCTCTTACGTCTTTCGGATATTATTGAAGCAAATATTTTATAGTCTGCATTTAATAAGGATATATGCCTATAATTTTATATTTGTGTTAAATCTGAATCTTCTTTTGGAATTAAGGTGATATTAGCATCCGTCCATGTATCTGGTATCTTAGCTTCTAGAAACACTTCATTATATACCTCTAACATTGACACACTCAATGTATTTTGTAAGTCTTTGTAGATTTCTATTGGAAGGCCATCAGAGCCTGGTGTTTTGTTATTTTTCTGTCTTTTAATTGCCTCTACTCATTCTACCATTGTTATTCTTTCATTCAACATCTTCATTGTTTCCTGCACTTTTGATGTTGGCTTTTTCCAAATATTGTATTATATTTTCCTCTGGATTTTTTTCATAATCATATAGCTTCTTATAAAACTCCTGGATTATATTCTTTTTGTTTTCCATTGGGCAATGTACCTCAGAGTCTTCTTTTGTTGGGGGTGTTACTTGGAACCCTGACACCTTCCTCATCCTGCAATTTACTTATCCATTTTTTCTCTTTCTCCTTCTTCAATTTATAGGCTAGCCATCTTCCTGGTTTATTAGCATTTTCCAAAAAAAAATATGTTTTGCTCTTTTAATTTGTTGTGCCAGTTCTTCTTTTTCCATTATATTTAACGTATGTTTAATTATTTCCATTTGATTCTTTAGATTTGCCTTTTGTGGTTCTTTTTGTAACTCCGCTTCAAGTCTTTTATATTCTTTTCCTAGAGTCTTCTGGTATGTTCCTTTTTTTTGGTTTGTCTGCATCTACATGGAGGGAAGTATGCAGTGGGGTAGCCCAAGGCTCTGTTTTAGGCCCAGTACTCTTCAACATCTTCATCAATGATTTGGACGAGGGGATAGATAGGGAATTCATCAAATTTGCAGACGACACCAAACTAGCAGGAATAGCCAACACTGCAGAAGATAAGCTTAAGATACAGAAGGATCTTGACAGACTTGAACATTGGGCGCTGTCTAACAAAATTAAATTCAACATTGAAAAAAGCAAGGTTTTACATTTAGGCAAGAAAAACAAAATGCACAGGTACCGTATATGTGGTACCTTGCTCAATAGTAGTAACTGAGAGGGATCTTTGAGTCCTAGTGGTCAACCATTTAGATATGAGCCAGCCGTGTGCAGCAGCTGCCAAAAAAGCCAACACAGTTCTGGGCTGCATAAACAGAGGGATAGAATCAAGATCACATGAAGTGGTAATACTACTTTATAATGCCTTGCTAAGGTCTCACTTGGAATATTGTATTCAGTTTTGGTCACCACAATGTAAAAAAGATGTTGAGTCTCTAGAAAGAGTGCAGAGAAGAGCAACAAAGATGATTAGGGGACTGAAGGCTAAACATATGAAGAACGGTTGCAGGAACTGGGTATGTCTAGTTTAATGAAAAGAAGGACAAGGGGAGACATGATAGCAGTGTTCCAATATCTCAGGGGTTGCCACAAAGAAGAAGGAGTCAAACTATTCTTCAAAGCACCTGAGGGTAGTACAAGAAGCATTGGGTGGAAACTAATCAAGGAGAGAAGCAACTTAGAACTAAGGAGGAATTTCCTGGCAGTTAGAACAATTAATAAGTGGAACAACTTGCCTGCAGAAGTTGTGAATGCTCCAACACTGGAAATTTTTAAGAAGATGTTGGATAACCATTTGTCTGAAGTGGTGTAGGGTTTCCTGCCTGGGCAGGGGGTGGGACTAGAAGACCTCCAAGGTCTCTTCCAACTCTGTTATTCTATTTCTATGATTAGGTGCAAAGATAGCAACTAAAAGTATCTGCTTTTGTTGTGGCCCGCCAGCGGCCTGCACGAATCATGGCTGATCCCGACAAGGAGGTTGGTGTGGTGTCGCACCAGCAGACTGCGCAGCCGGCACTTGCGTCGGACAGCGAGGAGGCTGAAGAGGATGTGGTGCCAGAGGCAGAGACTCAGCCAGGGCCTTCAGAACCTCCAGAGGCTCCTTCCAGTGGAGAGACCAAAGTGGAGGAGCCTCTCCTTAATGCTTGAGTACGCAGGGCTGCCAAAAGGCAGGAGTGGCTACTCAGGAGGAGGAGGTCTACTCGAGAGTAGGGCTTGAGGATAATTGGCCACTCCCTTAGCCTATTTAAGTTGCACGCAACTAGTGCTTTCTTGCTGGAAACAACTCGTATTTATTATCAGAGTATTTTGGTTTGTCGTATCTTGTTTTTTGGGCTGGTTGCCAACCTTTGCCGGACTTTGGTTTATTCTTGCTATTTAATAAATTTGATAAGGACTGTTGGTGTGTGTCAATATCCTTGGGAATCCGGAGCTGGGGCAGAACAGCTTTTGGTTTAGTGTCACTTCCACCATCAAAATTCTCCCTTCTTCATCTTTGAAAATTTGTTTAGCGTATATTGTTTCTTTAATATATAGGGGCATCCCTCTTCTCTCTCGGTGCAATAGCGAAAAGACTAACTTCCCCAATTTAGGATATTCCGATAGCTTATTGTGGTGTTTTAATATGTACTTCTAATGATATTATATCTAATGTTAATCTTTGCAATTTCATAAATATTGTTTTTCTTTTTATATGGGAATTCAGTCCATTTATGTTGAGTGAGAGTATCTTTGTTTCTTCTTGCATTGTTTCACTTATATTTAGGTTTTATGCTCCTAGTTGTTCTCATTTCTCTCTGATCTTTCACTCTCGCTCCTTCTTGCTCTGCTCACTCTTTTTTCTAGGCTTTGCTTTCATCTTGTGTACCCTTTTCTTCTACAGTTGAGACTTCTCGACCTCCATATATTTATTTATTATTATTATTATTTATTAATCAAATTTCTATACCGCCCTACTCCCGAAGGACTCAGGGCGGTGAACAGCCAAGATAAAATACAAATAATACAAATATTAAAAAATCCCTTAAAATTATTAAATATTTCGGCCGAAACACAGATTAAAACACCCAATTTGTAAAATCACGAATTAAAAAATTTAGAAATTTAAAAGATGGGAGTTAGGCCAGGCCAGCTTGCTGAAATAGAAAAGTTTTGAGAGCACGGCGAAACGTGCGCAGGTCCGGGATCTTCCGTATCTCTGGGGGGAGCTCGTTCCAGATGGTAGGTGCCCCCACAGAGAAGGCTCTCCCCCTGGGGGCCGCCAGTCGACACTGTTTGGCCGACGGCACCCTGAGGAGCCCCTCTCTATGGGAGCGTACTGGTCGGTGAGAGGCTATTGGTAGCAGAAGGCGGTCTCGTAGGTACCCCGGTCCGATGCCATGGAGCGCTCTAAAGGTGGTAACCAAAACCTTGAAGCGCACCCGGAAGACCACCGGGAGCCAGTGCACCTCGCGCAGGAGGGGGGTCACATGGGAGCGCCACGTCGCTCCCATAACCACCTGCGCGGCCGCATTCTGGACCAGCTGGAGCCTCCGGGTGCTCCTCAAGGGGAGCCCCATGTAGAGAGCATTGCAGTAGTCCAAGCGGGAAGTAACGAGAGCATGAGTGACCGTATTTAACGAGTCCCGATCCAGAAAGGGACGCAACTGGCGAATCAGGCGAACCTGATGAAAAGTCCCCCTGGCCACGGCCGTCATGTGCTCTTCTAAAGACAGCCGTGAGTCCAGGAGGACACCCAAGTTGCGAACCCTCTCCGTGGGGGCCAGTGACTCGCCCCCAATAGTCAGTGATGGCACCAACTGACTATATCGGGATGTCGGAAACCACAGCCACTCGGTCTTGGATGGGTTGAGCCTGAGTCTGTTTCTCCCCATCCAGATCCGCACGGCCTCCAGGCACCGGGACATCACTTCAAGGGCATCATTGGGGTGGTCCGGGGTGGAGATGTACAGCTGAGTATCATCAGCGTACTGGTGGTACTTCACCCCGAAACCACGGATGATCTCACCCAGCGGCTTCACATAAATGTTGAACAGGAGTGGCGAGAGGACCGACCCTTGTGGCACCCCACATACAAGGGGCCTCGGGGTCGACCTCTGCCCCCCTGTCAACACAGACTGCGACCGGTCAGAGAGAAAGGAGGAGAACCACCGTAGGACGGTGCCCCCCACCCCTAACTCCTCTAGCCGGTGCAGCATGATACCATGGTCGATGGTATCAAAAGCCGCTGAGAGGTCTAATAGGACCAGGACAGAGGAACAACCCCTGTCCTGAGCCCTCCAGAGATCATCAACCAACGCGACCAATGCCGTTTCCGTGCTGTACCCAGGCCTGAAGCCCGACTGGAATGGATCCAGATACGATGATTCATCCAGGTACTGGGGGAGCTGTCGCGCTACCACACTCTCAACAACCTTCGCAACGAAGCGAAGGTTGGAGACTGGACGATAATTTGCCAACACTGCCGGGTCCAGGGAAGGTTTCTTGAGGAGAGTCCTCACCACCGCCTCTTTCAAGGCGGCAGGGAAGACACCCTCACTCAAGGAAGCATTTATAATCCCCTGGAGCCAGCCTCGTGTAACCTCCCGAGAGGCCAGCACCAACCAGGAGGGACACGGGTCCAGTAAACATGTGGCTGCGCTCAGTCTGCCCAGTATCCTGTCCACGTCTTCGGGCGTCACAGAATCAAACTCTTCCCAGATAATACTCACAAGACCTGCCTCTGTCCTCCCCGCTGAATCTACCCAGTCAGAGTCCAGATGTTCCCGAATCTGAGCGATTTTGTCATACAGATACTGTACAAAATCCTCGGCTCTACCCTCCAAGGGGTCCTCCCGCGCTTCCTGGTGGAGCAGGGAGCGGGTCACCCTAAACAGGGCGGCCGGGCGATTATCTGATGACGCAATAAGAGTGGCAAAATAGTTATACTTCGCCACTTTTATCGCCACCAGGTAGGTCTTAATATGAGACCTTACCAGTGTTCGGTCAGATTCAGAATGGCTGGCCCTCCAACCACTCTCCAGGCGTCTTTTCCGGCGCTTCATCTCCCTCAGCTCCTCGGTGAACCAAGGAGCCAGGCGAGATCGACGAGAAATATAGTATTTCTCCCATCCCCTCTTCCATTTTTAGATACTGATCATAGAATTCCATTGCCTTATCCAATGTGTCATGTCTGTGTCTTTTTTCCTGCCAAGTAACTAGGATTTCCTTGGGTATCAGCCATCTGAAGTTTACATTATATTTAATCAGCACTGTAGTTAAGAATTGATATTGTTTCCGTAGGTCCCTTACTCTCCTAGTATCTGTTTCAAAACTACCAATTGTTGTAACTACCCTTGTATTGTAATAGAGAATAAAGAAGAGAATTTCCCCCCCCCCCAAAAAAAAATTCCTTTAGGGGTGACACATCTCTTGTATTGTTAAGAATTTCATCTCTTATCGATTTTTTAACAAATCTCACATGTACATCTCTTGGGATTGGATATTTATCTTCGGACAATTAGTATTTGTAATCCATAAAGCCCGCTGAATCCCCAATCTTTACTACTCCAAAGTTTCACATTATCGAAGCTAATCCCAATAATCCACAAGGTCAATCCACCCAGGCCTTCCTTTATATAAAAGTTCAAAGAGTGAAGGAAAGTATTTATAATCCACAAGGCCTGCTGAGTCCCCTGTCTAATTCTCTGGTGTTCCAAGATGTCAAGCTATACGCAAAGTCGTCTTCCTCCCATGTTCTCAAAACAAATTTTTATCTTCCATTTTTCCCTTGGAGCATTCAAATGTATTTATAATCCACAAAAATTCGAGGGGAATCCTTTTCTGCAGCTACCACCTATCTCGGTTTTCCCACGATAGTTAAATAGAAAAACACAACTCTATCTTCAATCTGTCTCTAAACACCAGGTGCAACAGTTCTGAAACCAAAGTGTATACATTCAGTCTGGTCCCTTCCAAAATGTTCCTTGTTGATAGGATAGGATAGGATAGGATAGGATAGGATAGGATAGGATAGGATAGGATAGGATAGGATAAGACCTTGGAGGTCTTCTAGTCCAACTCTCTGCTTGAGCAGGAAACCCTACACTACTTCAAACAAATTATTATCCAATCTCTTCTATATCATCTTTGGTCAGTAGATGTCATCCTACTGTCTTTTACTTTTCCAGAATGAGTTGGTAAGTCAGTGAAAAAAAAAGAAAACTTTCACTTGTAGCCCACTACTAAGGGGAAATAACTCATTAAAAATACTTTTATCCATATGCATGCTTTGAATTATATTTATCTTTTTAAAATACCCAGTCCAGGCTTTCTCTTCCATTTTAAAATTAATTTTCCAGTTGCTTCTCTCTCTACTTCCATGATGGCGAACCTATGGCACGCGTGCGACAGGTGGCACGCGGAGCCAAATCTGTGGGCATGTGAGCGTTGCCCTAGCTCAACTCCAGCGCTCATGCGCGTGCTGGCTAGCTAATTTTTGGATCTTCCGGATCATCAGAAGTGGGGAAATGGGCCGTTTCTGGCCTCCGGAGGGCCTCTGGGTGGGGTGGAGAAGGCTGTTTTAGCCCTCCCCAGGCTCGAAGAAAGCCTCTAGAGCCTGGGGAGGGCGGAAAACAGGCCCACCGTTAACCTTTTGCCGTTGCGTGCCAAAAGCGGGAGGACCGGTGTGTGTGTGTGTGTGCACATGCCTGCATGGGGGGCATTGAATTATGAGTGTGGGCACACACAACCCACCCTGCACTTCCCCCGCTTTTGGCACGCGACGACAAAAAGGTTAGCCATCACTGGTCTACTTCAATGGATTTGTAATCAGCTGAAAACTTTCACTCGCTGCATTCCTTGGAGGGGGAAAACCTGTGCCTTCCCTCCTCCTCTCTGGAGTCCCTCATTTCTTAAACGTATTTGGAGAATTAAATTTAACTTCTGGGTAGAAATTAGACAATTCTTACCCAGATCCAGCCCATTGCTTCACTTTACGCTTCATTCTGTGCTTGCTTTGTCCCGTCTGTCACAGCTCCAGTTTAGCCATTAATGGCCGGCTTCTTCTCCGCCTGTCAGGAAGATTTTCCAGATCCAACAAAGTGGACACCTGTCTACTTGTGATTGACAGAAAGTACTTCCTTTCTTAGTTATCTCGACGGGGTAACATTGGCTCCGAAGATCCTCCAGGCAGGCAGAAAGTAGTTGGGCTCCACGGACCTCCGCTCACCACAACCGTCTTGCTCTGACGTCAGCATGGTCTCCCTGTTACACTTACTGCTGTAGAGCCAGGTATCACCAATTTTATGTCTGTGCATTTGGGTTTTCTTTCCTAAATGTAGAACATTTATCAATGTTGTTTTTCATTTTGGTTGATGGGGTCCAATCTGTGGATCCTTCTATATCTTGAGCCTATCTTCTGGAGTGTTGGTATTCCTGTCAATTTGGTCTTGTCTGCAAATTTGATAAGTTCCCCTTCTGTCCCTAGTCTAAATCATTGATGAAGATGAACAGATCTTGCGAATCCTACTGTTTGGTTCTTTTTTCCGTGTTCAGGAGAATCTTGTGTCCTTCAAGGAGGTGGCTGTGTATTTCTCTGAGGAGGAATGGTCTCAGCTGGATCCTGACCAGAAAGCTCTGCATTCGGAAGTCATGCTTGAAAACCATAGGAACGTGGTCTCTCTGGGTAAGCATTTTCTAGTCCCCAATCAGAGAGTTCAAGAAGACAGATTATAGCTAGTTTTTTTTTTTTTAATTAAAAAATCATTGATCAGATATCATCTCCTGGGAGGGAGAAGGAAAGGATCTGGCCTTCTTGTACTCCAAGGAAGGAAACCATTCCAATTTATGACCTAGCCCACTCCCAAGTACTTAAGACTCAGTCCTGAAATTACAAATGTTGTTGCACCACAACTGTCATTCACACTTCTGAATGACAGCAGAGTCACTGCAACAACATTTGCCCTACTTATACCCCCATCCCACCCAGCCGGGACTTAGGTTGTGATGATGTAGCAAGCTGGTGGTTCCTTTGCCTGCTTTGTTGCATTTGAAAAAAAAGGAGGCCTAAAGTTGTGAGGCCAGTAGTGGGAAATCTCGCACTACTGTTTTCACGTGATCTTGCACTACAGTACGTTAGGCCTCTGCTAACCAAGGCCTGCACGAGATCCAGGGCAAAATGGTTTGCAAACAGAAGGAAGGCCTCTTTGTTTTCAAAGACTTTGGCCCTAGATCTCATGCAGTCCTCAGTTCTTAAAAGAACACACCCCTAAAGTACTGCGAGATTATTAGCCTGAGATCTTCCATTACTGGTTTCGTGTGATCTTGCACTAAAGTAGTTTAGGCCTCTATTCTCTGCAAACTGAAGCCTGTACCAGATCCAGCCAGAGATCTAAAGACGATAAGAAATTAGAGCAGCGAAATAGCCATTCTTGAAGCCTCCCAACCTATGCAGTCTCAGTGCAAAGAGCGTTTATAAGCCAATAGGAGGCTTCAAGCAAGGATTTCGTTCCAAAATTTCATCGCCGGGATCAAGGAATAGGCCGAATGGGGGTCCAGCCTGCCAGTTTCTGTGGAGCAGCTGCTCCAAGGTACACCGGGTATGAAGGAGCTTGTTTCAAAATTGTTTCGGTTCTCACAAGCCTGAAATTAACCCACCTGAATAATTCTCGTTTTCTCCTTAATCCTCCTTGGATGTTTCCCTTCAATATTCCTTAACTCAAAACTGACTGAGTGAGATTTGCATATATATATAGATAATTGTAAAGAAAGATATGTTTTTTAGATGTTTTCAAAGCTTTCATGACTCACGCATTTAGAAATCATCATGTATATATCACACCCCTGTAAGCATGCAAACAACCGGAAATTTGTTTGATTTTCTACAATTTGATCTTTTTCTCTAACCAGGTTATCATTTTCATTTCTCTTTTTCTTTGAAGGTAATAATGGGCAGGAGAATCAAGATTCCTGTGAACTGTTCCAAGTGATCAATGCTAAAGATGGAAGGGAGAAGTTTGGAATTCAAATGGAATTCAAAAGCCATGAGAAAAACCAGTCAAAAAATTGGAATGAAGAAAGCTCATCTTTCACTGATGCTCCGATGCAAGACTTTATTGTCCAACAAGGAAAAATAAGGGGAAAATATACTGGAAAAAGTGTGAAGCTAATCAAAACTAAATTACAAGTAAAAGAACACTATTTAACCCAAAACAAAGGAGAAAATCCTATAAAAAGACAAAATTGCAATGGGAGATTTCTTCCTTCTTTTGGAAATGAGTCCCTTACATCTCAAAAAGTGATTGACACAAAAGAGAAGCCTTATAAATGTTCGGAATGTGGAACATGTTTCAGAAAGAGTAGGCAACTTACTTCCCATGAAAGGATCCACACTGGGGAGAAGCTATACAAATGCAGAAAATGTAGTAACAGGTTCACAAGACGTAGTAGTCTTATTTCCCATAAAAGGATCCATTCAGGAGAGAAACCATATAAATGCATGGAGTGCGGAAAGACATTTGCTGAAAGAGGTAATCTTATTTCTCATAAAAGGATCCACTCAGGAGAGAAACCATATAAATGCATGGAATGTGGAAAGACCTTTGCTCGAAGAGATAATCTTATTACCCATAACATGATCCACACAGGAGAGAAGCCGTATAAATGCATGGAGTGTGGAAAGAGCTTTGCTCGAAGAGATAATCTTATTTCCCATAAAATGATCCACACAGGGGAGAAGCCGTATAAATGCACGCAGTGTGGGAAAATCTTTACACAAAGCAGTGGACTTACTATGCACAAAAAGATCCACACAGGACAAAGGCTGTATAAATGCATGGTGTGTGGAAAGACTTTTGCTCATAACAGTGGCCTAAGAATACACAAAAGGATCCACACAGGGGAGAAGCCATTTAAATGCATGGAATGTGGAAAGACCTTTGCTCAAAGAGGTCATCTTATTTCCCATAAGATGATCCACACAGGGGAGAAACCATATAAATGCACACAATGTGGGAAAACCTTTACTCGTAGCAGTGGACTTAATATGCACAAAAAGATCCACACAGGGGAGAAGCCATATAAATGCATGGAGTGTGGGAAAACCTTTACTCGTAGCTGTGAACTTGCTATGCACAAAAAGATCCACACAGGGGAAAAGCCGTATAAATGCATGGAGTGTGGAAAGACCTTTGCTCGTAACAGTGACCTAAGCATACACAAAAGGATCCACACAGGGGAGAAGCCGTATAAATGCATAGAGTGTGGAAAGACCTTTGCTCGTAACAGTGGCCTAAGCATACACAAAAGGATCCACACAGGGGAGAAGCCGTATAAATGCATAGAGTGTGGAAAGACCTTTGCTCGTAACAGTGGCCTAAGCATACACAAAAGGATCCACACAGGGGAGAAGCCGTATAAATGCATGGAATGTGGAAAGACCTTTGCTCAGAATGGATGTCTGTCTTCTCATAAATGGATTCACGCTCGTGAGAAACTATATAACAATAGTAATTCCACTTAGACTTATATACCTCTGCACAATGATTAACGACACCCTGAGCAGTTTACAAAGTCAGCATACGATCCCCAGCAATCTGGGTCCTCATTTTACTGACCTCAGAAGGATGAAAGGCTAAATCAACCATGAGCCGGTCAGGATCGAATTCCTGACTGTGGGCAATTAGCCTATAGTACTGCATTCTAGCCACTGCCTCACCATGTCTATAGCTCTTTATGTATATGCATATTGTGCCTTTGTGATCCAAATGAGACAAGATTAAATCCAACAAAATTAAATTTAATGTGGAGGGAAAAAATGGTTTTACACCTGGGCAGGAAAAACAGTACCTAAAACCTGGCTCAAAACCAGTAACTGTGAAGGGTCCTTGGAGTCAGAATGGATGATCACTTAAGCATGAATCACCTGTGTGTGGCAGCAGATAAAAAGAGTGCATACAATCCTTGGTTGTATAAACAGAGGCATAGAATCAAAATCACATGAAGTATTAGTCCTGCTCTATAAAGCCTTAGTAAGAACACACCTGGAATACTTCATCCAGCTTTGGTTATCAAATTACAAAAAAGATGTTGAGACTTTGGAAAAAAGTGCAGAGATTAGCAGTAGGCTGAATAAAGGCCCGGAGACTAAAACATAAAATCTTCCATAAAATCACGGAACGGAAGGATACCGTGAGGGGATCTTTGAGATCATCTCATTCAATTTCAGAGCCCACACCTGACTCCATGCGATTGGAGCTCCAGAACTCAAAGTGACCAAGAAGTGACTTCAAGAAACTTGGTGGCTACATCAGAGCTCCAGGCTTAACTAGACCAGGGGTGTCAAACTCACAGTGCCATGTGCTGGCCACGCCCACCTCTGGTTTAGCCAAAGGGAAGTTGTGATATGTCACGTGATCATAATGTGATACTACGAGTTTGACACCCCTGAACTAGACCAAGGTCTCTAAACGTGGTAACTAAGACTTACGGACTTCAACTCCCAGAATTCCTAAGTTGTCTGTGCGAGTTGAAGTCTTAGTCTGAAAGTTGCTGAGGTTCCTGAAGTAGACAATGGGTGCATATTGCGTAATTACTGTATTGCAGAGATGTTATCTAAAAGAGAATCGGAAGGACCTGGGTCCTTCCCTTTATACAATAACCTTTCAATTGGGGATTCATAATGACTACCTTACAGAAAATTACAAAATTAAGATCATGAAATGTCATAGACAGGAACGACAATTGTAATAAACTGGTCCATCTTAATATCAATGTTATAATATGGTATACTTATTATATGTATATTGAATTAAATACTTTATTTGGACAAGTGCAATTAGACATGCAAAGTGTATGTGTGTGTATGTACATACACATAAACAAATACCCACAACACAGAAATAGATCTATTTATTCACACTGAGTGGATCTCTTGGGATGTTTCACATTTTCTTCCTGCTTGTTTCCCTTTTATATGTATCTTGGATATATGTAAATATAGTTCCTCGATTATGTTTGGTGAAACATAAAATCATTTTTCACTCTTTTCCTGTCACCGTTTTGCAATTCCATCCTTTCTCCAGTCACAGATGAGACGCCATTCCCCCCCATCTTGATTTCTTCACCAAATGGTCTCATTCTGAGGTAAAAGTTCTGGAACATTCACTAGTTTGAGCTTTTTCTCCTTTTTGGAATTTGGTTTACTTTTGAGATTTCTTGTTCTTCAGCATTATTTCCTTGGTCAGGATTGTGGCTGTGTCCCATCTTCCTCAACTTAAGACCAAAGTGCTCAACAACCGCAAGACACAAGCTGTGTTTCCCAGAGAGCCTCCTGGTCCTTCTCTTCTGACCACCTGGCTGCTTCTGACTGGATTTGGACCCTTTTGAGGCCTCCTCCAATCTCTGCCCAGCCTTCAGGGCGGCTGTTCCTGAGGGAAGCGAGTTCAAATCCTCCAGAGAGATTTTTCTCCATCTCCACAGACGATTCCTGGACAGGAAGTAGAGGAAGATGGAGAAAGTGCCCCCTCTGGAGACGTTGAAGCCTTTGTCTGCCAGGGAGCAATGGAGAGGGGCCTTTCTCCTACTCTCAAGCCCATCATCCCTGCCCTCTCCCTTCCCCTCAGACGCGCTCCTGTTTCCCGCCTTTTCTACAATCCTGGCCCTTTCCGCGCAATCTACCAGAGGGAGCCTCCTTCTGATAAGAGAAGGTAGCGTCATGCGCTTCCCCATTGGTCCACTGGAGGCCGAACGTCACAGCTGCCTTTCCTGAGGAGGCTGGGAAGGAAATGACATCACGAAGGCTTGCCGCTCTAGGACGCCGCACTCGCTCTCCTTAACCCCCCGGGTCTCCACAGGAGGCGGAGAGGCTGCGGGAGAGTCTGGCGGGGGGCGATCCAGACGTTTCCCGGGTGAGTTGGGGGCTCTTCCCGGGCAAAGGGAGGCGCAGGAGGGATAAACTCTAGGCCGGCCTTCCTCCGGCTTCGATCCCGGGTCCCATGCTCCCCAGCCGCCCTCTCCATGCGAAGAGCCCGAGTGGGGGGAGGGGAGGGTCGGCCTTGCGGAGGCCCAGCAGGAGCGGAGGAGGCAGGATTCGCACTAGGCTCCCTGTCTCCGGAGGGGAGAGAAGCGGGGCGGCCTCTCCAGCTGCCTCCTTCCCGGCCCTGCTCGGGGGCACCTCAGTCCTGCGCTGGGATGAGCCTCTTGGGGCTCCGGGGAGGTTGGGGGAAGGTCGCTCAGTGGCTGAATTCCACTTTCTAATTCTTAATATTTATTTTTTCTTCCCATCTCAGATACAGAAACTGGAAGCCATTTGTGGTCTTTGCAAGGCAAACTTTTCTCTTGGGGGAAGAAGAAAAAGAGCGGAATCCCTTGGAGGGATCAGTCCTGCAGCCCCAGAAATGGTCCCGTGAAGGAAAAGGCACCTGGAGACCCAACAGCAATTCCTGGCTCTTCTGCCCCAGAGATGGAGAACTCGGTGCAGGAATATGGAGCAGAGACCAGCTCTCAGGCGGTGGCCCTGGCTGAAGGCTTCCTCCTGAGCCAGTCAGAGGACGAGAAGGAGCAGGATGAGTTGCAGGTAAGAATTCAAAAGAGAATAGAGAATCTGCTTTAATACTTCACCCCTCCTTCCCAAACCTCTCTGACATTCATAATATGTGGCAATGTCCCACCAATTCTTGTAGGACATTGTTCCATTGTTTTCTCATTCAGCCACCCTGATGGATATTGGGGGCTTTGAGGTGGCGTTCTGAATATAGGAATCCACTTTATGTCATGTGATGTGCATTAATTCTGCTTCTTCCATCCTTCCTCCTATTGGAAGTGCTGCACTGTGGAGATCAGAGATCCTGAGAGAAAGAAGAATCCATCAACTCCCCTTCAGGGGTTATTTTTCAGGAGGATCCCTTGGGAAGATCAAACTCAGGACACCTCAGGAGGTAATTGAAGATCCTCCAATTACTCATCTGTCTTAACTTCACGCTCTCTTCTCTTCTATACAATACTTTCTCCTATTTATACTTCTTTGCACTAATTGCATCTGCAGATAATTGCCCAGCGGGCCTCTTTAGGTGAGCCTCCTGCTCTTGGGGGAAGGAGGAGATTGAGGTCCACCTGAAAGGGTGTGCAGAGGAATTGGGCGATTTTTCTGGAAGACAAAATTACTTGACTTGGTTTCCAGTTATTTCCAGTTTCCATATCTCCAGGGGGAGGTCGTTCCAGATGGCAGGTGCCCCCACAGAGAAGGCTCTCCCCCTGGGGGCCGCCAGTCGACACTGTTTGACCGACGGCACCCTAAGAAGCCTCTCTCTATGGGAGCGTACTGGTCGGTGAGAGGCTACTGGTGGCAGAAGGCGGTCTCGTAGATACCCCGGTCCCAAGCCATGGAGCGGTGTAAAGGTGGTAACCAAACCTTGAAGTGCACCCGGAAGACCACCGGGAGCCAGTGCAGCTCGCGCAGGAGGGGGGGTCACATGGGAGCACCACGTCGCTCCCATAACCACCCGCGCAGCCGCATTCTGGAACAGCTGTAGCCTCCAGGTACTCCTCAAGGAGAGCCCCATGTAGAGAGCATTGCAGTAGTCCAGGTGGGAAGTGACGAGGGCATGAGTGACCGTATTTAACGAGTCCCGATCCAGAAAGGGACACAACTGGCAAATCAGGCGAACCTGATGAAATGCCTTCCCGGCCACAGCCGTCAAATGCTCTTCTAAAGACAGCTGTGAGTCCAGGGGGACACCCAAGTTGCGAGCCCTCTCAGTGGGGGCCAACGACTCGCCCCCAATAGTCAGTGATGGCACCAACTGACTATATCGGGATGTCGGAAACCACAGCCACTCAGTCTTGGATGGGTTGAGCCTGAGCCTGTTTCTCCCCATCCAGATCCTTACAGCCTCCAGGCACTGGGACATCACTTCAAGGGCATCATTGGGGTGGTCCGGGGTGGAGATGTACAGCTGATTGTCATCAGCGTATTGGTGGTACTTCACCCCAAAACCACGGATGATCTCACCCAGCGGCTTCACATAAATGTTGAACAGAAGGGGTGACAGGACCGACCCTTGTGGCACCCCACATACAAGGGGCCTCGGGGTCGACCTCTGCCCCCGTGCCAACACAGACTGCGACCGATCGGAGAGAAAGGAGGAGAACCACCGCAACACGATGCCCCCCACCCCTAACTCTTCCAGCCGGTGCAGCATGATACCATGGTCGATGGTATCAAAAGCCTCTGAGAGGTCTAATAGGACCAGGACAGAGGAGCAACCCCTGTCCCGAGCTCTCCAGAGATCATCTACCAATGCGGCCAATGCCATTTCCGTGCTGTACCCAGGCCTGAAGCCCGACTGGAACGGATCCAGATAAGCCGATTCAGCCAGGTACCGAGGGAGCTGTCGTGCTACCACACTCTCAACAACCTTCGCAACAAAGCGAAGGTTGAAGACTGGATGGTAATTAGGCAACACTGTCGGGTCCAGGGAAGGCTTCTTGAGAAGAGGTCTCACCACCGCCTCTTTCAAGGCGGCAGGGAAGACACCCTCACTCAAGGAAGCATTTATAATCCCCTGGAGCCAGCCTCGTGTAACCTCCCGAGAGGCCAGCACCAGCCAGGAGGGACACGGGTCCAATAAACATGTGGCAGCATTCAGTCTACTCAGTATCCTGTCCACGTCTTCAGGAGTCACAGAATAAAACTCTTCCCAGATAATATTCTCATGACCTGCCTCCATCCTCCCCCTTGAATCTACCCCGTCAGAGTCCAGGTGTTCCCGAATCTGAGCGATTTTATCATACAGATACTGTACAAAATCCTCGGCTCTACCCTCCAAGGGGTTCTCCCGCGCTTCCTGAAGGAGTTCCCGTTTTAACTATTGCAACGGGCTCTACATGGGGCTGCCCTTGAAGAGTATGTGGGCTCCACTTGGTGCAAAACATAGTGGTCCACATGGTTTTCTGCAGATCCCAGTGTGCACGTTTATCAACTCTCCTGCAGGAGCTGTATTGGCTGCCAATTTGCTTCCGGGTGCGATTCAAGGTTCTGGTTGTCGCCTTTAAAGCCCTTCATGGCTTCGGACCAGCTTATCTGAGGAAATAAATATTTTGTTAATTATTATTTTGAAATTATTTATTTCTTACAGAGAAACAAAGAATGAAATTTTCTGGTTTTCATGACAGCGATCAAACACTGGCTGAACCTCTAAATCAAGTAAGAAAAGGAAAAATTATTAGATCTGTATTCTCCCTTCAGGAAGTGAAGTGGGTGTGCAGAATGCTCTCTGCTTCTATTCCCTTGTTTGGATTGGATTATTTTTGTGTCCTTCCACAACATGGACAGCAGAATAGCAGGTTGAAGTTGCTGTCAGCCAGCATAGCTTCCTCTGGTTGGCTTGTTCTGCTAGGTGCTCCTCCAAATTTGCCTTTACAGGAAGCATTTCTTTTAACGTCCTTGAAGAATTAGGAATAAACGTATGACAGTGGCAGGAACTGCTGGACCACTTTTCTTTTTGTAATTTATCAACCTCCTAAGGTACAGATTAACAGAGTTGGAAGGGACCTTGTAGGTCATCTAGTCCAACCCCCTAACACCATTTCTGCAGTTGGCAGTCTTCTGAAGGAAACTTCTGTTCCATGGGTTGATTGCTTTCACTGTCAGAAAATGTCTCCTTATTTCCAGGTAGAATCACTTCTTGTTCAATTTCCATCCATTATTCCTTGACTGGCCTTCAGGTGCTTTGGAAAATAGCTTGACCCCCCTCCTCTCTGTGGCAGCCCCTCAAATATTGGAACACTGCTACCCTGTCTCCCCTGATCCTTCTCTTCATTAGACTAGCCATGCCCAGTTCCTGCAAACGTTCATCGTATGTTTTAGCCTCCAGACCCTTCATCATCTTGGTTGCTCTTCCGTGCACTCTTTCTAGAGTCTCAAAATCTTTTTTACATCATGGCAATCAATACTGGTTGCAAAGTTCCTATGTGTGGTCTTACCAAGGCATTATAAAGTGATACTACAACTTCATGTGATCTTGATTCTATCTCTCTCTTAATGCAACCTATGAT